CTGTGTGAAAATATCATAGTTTTGCAATATTTTCAGTAGAATGGGCATTCATAAATTATAAATTGAATTGGATTATTAGACTTTGGAAAATATACGACAAAGGTTTGTGTTAAACCAGGTTCAGAAAGCTTAACTCAAGGCTGAAATGCGGCGCGACCCTAAGCTAAAGCACCGACCACTTAGGACTTTACTCAATACTATACAGATCAAGAATTATTAGCAATAGATAATATTCGTAAATCTTTCCTATTCGACTGATATTAGATCGGTTATAGATCGGGATACATTGGGCTTGTTTATGTTCAGTTAGATTAGTTAGCCAGGTATGAAATAGCTGCAGTTTTCTTGAAGGGAGCGTGTGCGAATGTTAACAGATATGTCCGAGAGGTATTTGTAGAAACTCCCGACTATCTGAAGTACTCACATTATACGCGAATCTGAAATAGAAGCCAATTTGCATACTTATAATTAGATGGTAGTTATCATTATCATGTAAAGGAATTTGCATGCTTATGAATATAATCTGATGATACATATTATCCTTATCCAAATTTTATTTCCCGTTCGAAGATCCTGATTGGGTTAAACTGTGACCTACATGGAATTAGTCAAGGAATTGGTTCATAAGCAATTAGACAATCGGACTAATAAGATTAAATACTTTAACCTAATGATATATATGTATATGTTCATATGCTAGATATGCTTAAAGTACTCGAATGTGTCCTTCCTATTTCATAAAATTTGTTAAGCGATCTCTATAAGGATCAAACATTGATCATTTTTCTATTATGATTAGTATTGGCATTGATTTTATTGTTATTATTATTAATTGAATTCAAAGAAATAAAACTATCTAAAGTACGGACAAAAGATATATTTTTTATATTTATAACCACAGATTTCGTATAATCTGTGTCTGGCAGCTAGTTAAATCGAACTCCCCGCATGCCCCATTCCCCTTCACCCTGCTACGCCCTCATACTGGACGCTAATGAGCGGCTGGTTTGCTTATTCAAGCGCATAACATTCGCTTTCAAGTTTTGCGCTGCGAGCAAAGAAACTGTTTTACGAGTGGGTTTCACTTTGTATAGTTTTTATCAGCACTGGTCGGTTATGCTCCTATTGTTCCTATTGGCTGTTATAGCAACAACAGCAACAACAGCAGCAACCGGCGATGCAAAAGGTAAAGCAAACATAATGCATACAAATAAAAACAATAACAACGAAAGCAACAACAACAACAACAACAACAACAACAGAAAGCAAGAATAAACCAGAATTCTCTCATTGGACGCAAGTGCAAGTGCAAGTGTATGTACCTAGCACCTGTGCGCGTGTGTGTGTGTGTGTGTGTGTGTGTGCGTGCGTGTGTATTTGTGTCTGTTTGCATTGGATCCCAGTCTGCTTGGCAGCTTGGTCGCTATGTGGCCCATTATGTTCGCCTGGCAAAATTGGAGCATTTATTGTACCAACAAAAAACGCATTTTATGAGAGACGGACTGCCAGCAGCCGGGCTGTACTTGCAATGTTGTTCTTTTTTCTTACTCTTACTGCTGTCAAATACACACAGAGCAACGAGAAACAGACACACTGGTTTAGTAAGTCGACTCTCGGTTGCCCTATTAACTGGTTTCTTCCCTTTTGATCAACGATTGCCATGATCAGATACTTATTTAGGTTTCTCATCAATCAAATGATTCATTTGCCAGCTTAGCAATTTTGTTGTTGCTCAATTGTCGAAGGCAGCTCTTCAAAGCTGCAATATGCATATGCCGAATGTGCCACTATGCAGGGTATATGACAAGAACAACGAAAGCAACACGCAAAAGCTGTAAGCCGTGAGCTTAGCACATACACATAAAGTGAAAGCTCAAAGTTTAGCCAATTCAGCAACCAATGCGCTGTCAAAATCTCTTAACCGCACCCACAACTATTGCCGTCCTCTTCTAGCACGCTCCACTTGCTGTGCATGATTGCAATCGGTATATAAATTGCCATCGTCTTGCTTTGGCTTATGTATACGTGTGTACATATATATAAAAGAAAAAGCAACAACAATGTGTGAAAAGAGAGAGAGAGAGAGAAGCAAGTGAACTGTGCGCAAACACTATTTAGGTCGTCGCTGTGCTGCTGTTTGCTGGTCGCCTGTTGACGCATCTAGGGCAAGTTCCTAGAATGTTCATTCCAATAAGCCCACCATGGCCATTGCAACATCGCGAAAATGATAAAAATTGTTGGCAGGCGAATTCGTAGAATTCACCCGAACTCAATAGGCGCCCAGCGTTTGATGCGTATAGCTGCTACAGCTGACGAACTTATGGGGTGTTGGGGGGCGTCCCAACATTTTTGTGGCGTAGTCAAAATCGCGTCATGCGCGTCGCAATTTCAGCAGGCGGTCAGAGACAAAACGCCAGACACCCTACCCAACGAGATGCCAATAGATGCCGCCGAAACACCATCGAAGACAGCCCATGGCCGGGCACGGGCCAGGATGCCCAATCACATATGGCCGCGCGGCGCAACGGACTCCACATACGGCCAATGCCAATGCGTTTGCCAACAGTGGGCTCCACAAGCTCCACGAGCTCCACACAGAACACGCTCGCTTTTAACACTTTCGATTTCTTGTTCCAACCAAACGCTGGCCGCTAAATAGGCGCCCAGCGTACAACAGCAGCGCGTTGCCAAGCAACAGGCCCACTCGCACAATGAGATAGCTACACACATGCAAACGTTATGCGGTCTAGACAGAGAGAGCGCCATACAGCTGAATCAGTGCATAGGCTAGTTGTCTCGTTCGTTGCGCTCTCTGCACACATGTTGCTCGCTTTGGCACACTCACTCATATTAGAGAGCGTACATTTGCGCGACGTTTTAATTCGCACACACAAATACACACACTCGTATGCATACATATATTATGCTTTCTCATATGTTTGCACTCATGCAATGTCATGCGATGGCAATGTCCTTGTATAAAAAACAGTTTTTGTGCACAGGCGCACAGTGTGCGACAACCAGCAGCAACAGCAACAGCAGCAGCAAGAAAATAAAACATCGCTTGGTTTGTTGTTGCTGCTAAGCTCATGCTCTCGCTGGCTCGCTCACGCTCTCACTCACTCACTCTCTCTCTCACTCTCTTGCTTGCGCTCGCTAGCTCTTGCGCTTACAGCTTTTAGCTTTTATTTTTAGTTAGCTAAAAAAAACCCGCTGACTGTTCCAGCCAGCAGCATGCAACAATAATGTGTATACGCTTGTATGTATACATGGGTGTGTGTGTGTGTGTGTGTGTGTGTGTGTGTGTGTGTGTGTGTGTGTGTGTGTGTGTGTATCTGTTTCTTTCTGTTGGGGGAGTTGGTATTTTGCTGCTGCTTCAGTTGCTTGCTGCACGCCTGTTCAAAAATCGACTGACTGAAGGCCCCTGAAATCGTACGCACACGCGATGGCAAGCATCGGGCACTTGCCCGAACGACTTCGTTGCCAGCAGCAGCAGCGTCGGCGTCGGCAGCGGCAGCGGCATCAACGACTTGAACTTGAGCGCCGCCCCGTCTGCCATTAAATGCAGTTTATGTTGCGCGCTGCGAATTCATTAAATGTTGTTTTTAATTAATCGCAGGCAGACAGAACAGCACACAGCGAAACAGAGCAGAGACAGCAAGCCAGCCTACTCCCACTCCCACTACCAGCCGCCCCACACTCCGTCATGCCCTGTCCTGCCCGGCCTAAGAGCTCAGCCAATTAGTGGAAAATGTTGCTGCCCGGCACATTGGCCACCCTCTTCATTAGCTGCACACATTTCGACCTACGCTTTTTGCATCGCATCTTCTTCTATCCTATTACGCCGGCATCGTCTTAATTAAAAAGCTGACAATGTTTGCCCCAGACGCGGCCGGAACACCATTTAGCTCATTCCCGGCGCATTTTTAATTGCTTAATTGGAATCGCGCAGACGACAGCGCCGAAGGACGCCCAGCCTCGCCTCGCCTCGGCACGGCTCGTCAGTCAGGGACGAGGCCGTGCTCGCCCAGCCATTGGTGGGCATAGACCTGGCGACGCCCTTATCGTTGCTCGCTTGCTGTTCCTTTCGCACGTGCCTGGGCCGGGCCGGGCCGGGCCGAGCAATTAAGCGGATGCGGCGAGCGAACCGCCTCTCAATTCAGCAGCCAGAAGCCAGCATCCGGGCGCTCTCAAGGTCGTGCATGGAGCAGACACCACGCCTAGATACGCCTCAAACTCAGCCAGTGCAGCAGGCGCACAGCAAGCGGCAGCCGGCGAGCGCCAGGACTCTGTTTGGGATATGGCAATATGCTCAGCTGGAAGCTGCGAAGCGCCAATGTGCAAGGACTCGCGTGTCCTTGGCCTGCAATTCAACGCAAGTTTACGGTAGCTTAAAAGCGCACCCAACAAAAGAGAGAGACGAAAAGATTTCAACTTAATCAGCAAAAGCTCGTTCTCGCTTTTCCAATGCAGAAAATAACGAATATTTGAAAACGAAAACTATTAATGCCTTATAAGAATCTTTGTAATATATCAACTGTATCATAATTATATTTTCTAACTAATCTAATCTAATCAAACTAATCAATAAAACAATATAGTATTCAAGTATTATATGTATGGATATACTTAGATCGAAATACAAATTAATGAAAAAAATACACTTGAAAAAAATGTCATATCTTGACATGATTATATATTAACCACGACAATATTGTCAACACACCATGTGATATTCAGTTTAAATTATAATTCACAAGCAAATATAATCGATCTGTTAATACATGTACAAGCAGACAATTAATTTTTAATAACAAGCCTTAGTTAACCTAGAAATAATATTCACCGATTAGTTAAGCTTGTCCAACACCGCTTAGCTTTGACGCTCGCTGCACACGTTACCCAACACTGTTTGCAGAAAACAAAATAGGCACCGCAGTGAACTTCATCAGAATTCCTTAGCTAGCTCGACAGCAGGATATTCTCTATCATTTTGAATGTGCACATCAAGTGAGTAGCACATAGAATATTAAATGCGGTAGGCTCCCAGAAGATTCCAACATTTTTAGAAATTAAAGTGAAAACCAATCAAAAACTAATAAGTTCAAATTTTTGGGCTTGACTGAATTTCTTAATTTGTGATGGAGCTTTCCACTTGGAAGCAAGTTCTCTTGAAATGGGTAAGTGTTCTCTTTGGGTTTTCCAAGGTTGTCACAAATTTCAGAAATACCTTACAGGTTAGGGACTGTGAGCTCATCGAACCAACTCCAGTGTGCTTGGATGATCTAGAGCCCGAAATTTTCTTTCCGGCATACGCAGAGCGCGTTAAATATTTGCGGTCCAATCCAGAGTCAGCAAATAGCCCACTGCTTTATTTTTTGGAAGGTGCGCACGTACGGGCATTATTAGGCATACGTCTCTAATGAAAATAATATCCGATTTGCAGAGAAATTTCCCAATTTCGAGCCCCAACTAAAACAAAATGGCGGCATCGCTGTCAGCGATTACGCCTATGTATATTCTCTTCTATGGCGATACGCCAGCGATAACGGCGGTATCGACTATATTCCGGACGGTGTCTTCCAAGATAATTATATTGAAAATTGCATTGACCTCTTCATTCGATATATCCCAGATATGTCCAATCTATCGAGGGTTATATTGCACGAATGCATCACCCGGATGCCTTTGGGTGTTCAAGAAGATTCTCCTGAGCATAATGGCAATAGCGATTCGTCGGGTTGCGGCTGCGGCGAATATGTGATGGGTGAAGAATGTGTAAGCGAGGCCGCTGATGAAAACGAACTCGATTATATAGAGGACGAAGCCATCGAAGAAGGCAACTCTGATGGGGCCGGCGAAGAATCCGAATACATTGGGGGAGAGGCCGTCGAAGAAAATGAGCCCGATTATATTGGGGAAGATCTCATCGAAGAACGCAAATCTGATGAGCCCCGCGCAGTGTTTGAATACATTGTGAAAGAAGCTGTCGCGGAAAATGAAAATCAACCCGATTATACAGAGAACGAATCTTGCAAAGAACTCGATTCTGATGAGGTCGACGAAGAATCCGAATACTTTGAAGAAGCCGTCGAAGAAAATGAAAATGGACAAGATTATGTACAGGAATACAACTCCGATAGTGGGGCCAGCGAGGAAGCCGAATACTTGAATAGTCCCCATTATAAATTGAACGAAACCGTTGAGGAATACTACTCGGAGGGCGCCGAAGAGGATTCGGACTATATCGAAGAGGACGCCGAAGAAAATGGAAATGAACCCAATATTCTGGACGAGGCGCCTGAACCAAAGAAATCTAGAACTGTAGAAGAGATTTTTAAAAATGAGCCCGATCATATCGAGCACGAAGCCACAGAAGAGCATAACCCTGATAATGAAACGAATGGAGAAGCCGAAGCCGCCGGAGGACGAGAACCCGATTACATGGATAACAAAGCTGTCGAAGAGCCTGCTTACAGGGAGAGCATCTATGAATGCAATTTACCAGCAAACAATTCGTTGACCCCGACCAGGCTTCTGCGTAAACGCAGCCGTTCCTGGCGCACCTTCGCCAACAATGCCGACGTCCCTCCTCTGCCCGCCAGCAGCAGTTCAGGTGTCGACACCGAAGAGAAGTACTGTTGGATGAAAAGCGACCCATATGAAAACGCGCCTCCAGACAAGGATCTACTCGGCAGCAACAATAGCATTAGCAATTCATCGCCTTTCAGCAACGGAACGGAGAGACAACTTCGGATTGATAACCAGCCAAATGAAAAGGTGCCGACTAAAACGTATTCCAAGTCTAGGGTAGCTCTGATCCGCGAAAAAGCTTCCTCTCAATCGGAGCCCAGCATTCTTTATAATATATACACGTTGACCACCATCGATACAGATTTCTTGCGATCTAGCGAGGACGAGGACGAGGACGAGGACGAGAAAGGCGATGGCGATAATAACAACGTGAGTTTCTCTTTATAATTATGATCCATTCGATTCTTTGATAACTCGTGTAATTCACTCCAAAGGACGAACAGCTTGGAGCCAAAGCAACCAATGCCGTGGTGCAGTCGGAGAAAAAGGAACTGGGGAATTCTTCCAGTTCAAAATATCGCAGCGTGGACGAGAATGCAGATGAGTTCATCGAAAATGAAATAGTAGGCAAAATAAAATATATTAACCCAATGATAAAATACCATTGTAACACTCATCCAATCAGCTACAATTGGCCATGGTCAATGGAAACCTAGACAAGGACACGCTCATTGAACTGCTCAAAGATCATATAAGAGCCTTACAAATAAGCAACGACGAGCTAAGCAAAAAGGTATGCCAATAATCCTTTAACTTCGATATTAAATCTCTCTTCCATTGCGTTTATTCCGGAGCTAATGGAATCTCGTTTTTGATTTAGGTGCAAGTGTCCGATTCGAACGCACAGTCGTACATGAAGCGCATACACGAACTGCAGGACCTCGTGGACAGTGCGGACGAGATCGTGATGGACAGGGAGCGTACGCTGGAAGGTCTACGCTCAGACTGCGAAGCGCTAAAGATGCGCCTGCGCAGAGGCAGTTTTGAGCTGAATGACACCACGGACGATATTGGTGTTAGCTCGGAAGATAAGGCACAATCGGCTAAGAACCAATTGCGTGGACGCGCGGAGAAGCGAAATGATTCGTCGGCGGCATTGGCTTCTGCGGAGAACGAACGCATGAGATTCAAGCAAAAAATGTTGAGGCTTATTCGCTCGCACAACGTGGAGTTGCCTGAACTGCCACTGAACGACAATTCACTACCAACGCTCTTTGGCCTTATTGAGTATACAATGGACCAGATGGCCGCAAAGTATGAATCGCATAACCAAACTTTGGCAGCCAATAAAACGGTATGTGATAATCGACAAGTAGACATAGGTCAAGGCAAGTCTGTTAGCTAATAGAAAACCTAATCATCCTGTCCACCTTTACTATCAGCAGAAGAACGTGGAGCAAGCCGCCTGCTTGGCGGAGTCGCATAATCAGCAGGAAGATCAGCCGGCGCTCGAAGGGCGATCGGTGCATCTGGATCAAGATCCAATGGTTCTCTACCGGCAACAGATACAAGCCCAGGACGCGTTCGCCGCCGAAATGCTCCAAATATTAGCCGAGTGCAACAACCTAGCCGTCGAGCCGGACGATGAGCCTGGCGCCGTGTTCCATCAGTTGCGCAAACAACTTGGCCAATTTGTGGCCAACTACAGATATCTTAACACGCAATTGCAAAGCACAGTGCCTGCGACCATGGATGCGTTGAGTGCCTACGAAGCGAACATCCGGAAGATGCTGCTGGAAGTGGAAAATATCTACAATGTGTCGTCAATGAGCCAAGAGACTGGCATGAATGCCTTGGAGCAGCTGCGCCTGCAGATAGAACAATTTATGTCAGATTTCAAGGGGCTGGAGGCGACCAGCGCGCGCTTGACCAGCGAATACAGGAGCTGCCTGAAGCAGTACAGCGATCAGCAGCAGAACATGCAAATGGAGCACGCGGATCGCTTAAAATTGGACGATTATATAAAGTATCTGGAGGAACAGTTGGATTACAAAACTAGCGAATGCAACTGGTTTGGGCAGGAGTTAACGCACCAGATCGCATATATCAATAAACTGGAGTCGGAGCAGAATATGTCGGAGATTTCAGACGAGCAGGAGCTCCACGAGTACCACCAGAAACTGGGTTCAGTGCTGGGCCGGCTCAAGGCGAAGATGATTAATTACGTATGCGGCATCGTCCGCCTAAATGTGAATCTCAATAAGCCGCTGGTCATAGATAATCAACTGCTTGTCGTGCACCAGCGCCGGCTGACCTTATTACTGGACGAAATAAAAAACAACGTAATGGATCACATTGCACAGATTGCCCGAATAGTCTCGGACTCTAAGCTGCCCAAGAATGAGATGCAGCAAACCGACGAGGTGAATCAGGATCAAAACACATTGGTGGATGAGCTGCAGCAACAACTTAGCGCTGCCAAGGATCAAAATAAACAGCTGGAGCAGGAGCTGCAGTCGGCCATTCAGCAGGACAATTATTCGGTGCTTAAACAGGAGCTGAGGATCACACGCCATGAGCTGAACGATATGAAAAACGAAAATCTGCAGCTGAGCCACAGACTCTTTGTCTCCAGGCGTGCTGGCGAATCGAAGGGATTGGAGAAGCAGCTGGAGACTTACAAACAATATTCATCGGAGCTTGAGGCGAAACTCAATGATGCATTCGATTTGGTCAACGATCGGAATCGCGAACTAGAACGCTTGACCAATATGTTCAACGAGCTGAAAGTATCGCTAACAAATATGGATCAACGCGTTAGGCAGGCATGTCCTGTGGAAGATAATTCATCGGTGCTCGTGGGGCAGGGCCGGGATTTCGTAGAGCTGCAGCAGCACGTGGAATACTTAGAGCAGGAGCTGGTAATAAGCCAAGAGCTAAGCACTAATAAGCAATCGGAGCTGCAAATGCAGTTACTGGAACAACAGAAGGCCGCCGCAATAGAGCTAGATGCCCGAGATTCTGCCAATCAGCAGCTGTCCGAAAAGCTGGAAGTATGCCGGGTACAGGTTGAAAGCTTAGAATGCCAGCTGAAGCAAAGCCAAGCATCAAGAGAGCACCAATGGCAGTCGGCACTGTTGGTTGATCAGCTTGGCGGCTCCAGAGGGAGGCTCCAACAGTCGTCAAGCATCTGGAAGCAGCTGGAAGGCCTACAGCTCCAGCTAAAGAAGAGGGAAGAGCAGCTGCAGGCCGCACAAGTGGACCTGCAGAAGGAGCAGAGCGAACGCCAAAGGCTAGCTGAAAATCTGACCGACTACCAACAGCTGGTGGAAGAATTGCAGCAACCATCCAATCAGGATTGGCAAATGGAGTGCCAGCTGTTTGAGGCGCATAAAGAGATTGAGGTGCAAAAAAAGGAGCGCCTGAGACTGGCTAGAGCCGTCACCCAGTACCAACAGAAGGTGGAGCAGCTACAGCGTCAACTGGAACGTGCTAAGAACGGCAAATTGGCTTCGGGCCTGGTAGATCAGCTAGAGATGGTGATGCAGGAGCTGCAAGATGCCAACTGCGCGAATATGCAGTTGGGCCGCGAGCTTCTTAGCTATCAAGAGCAAAAGGCAAACTTACAGGAACAGCTGACTATGTCCCAGAGCCACAACTGCCCAAGTCAGCACGAAAAGAAACTGGTCGAGAAGCTGACAATCGCACGTGAGGAAGTGCAGAAACTGAAAGTCGTAAATCACAAGTTGGTGAAGACGGCAAGGTATTACCGAGATCATGCTGAACTCCTGCAGGAACAGATGGGGGAGATGCGAAGACGCGAAACGAATGCATTCCAAAATGAAGCTCGTTTGAGCGCCGCACATCAGGATTGGCTTGAGAAAAATCTGGCTAGCTACAAGAAGCGTGTTAAAAATCTACAGCAGCAGATAAAGGAGCGCGCGGCCCAGCTGAAGGATGCCGAGCAGCAGGCAAGGAAAATTGAGCATTTGCAAAAACAATTGACGATGACGCAGCAGAGACTAAGGGAGCAGCCCAAAACTGTCACCATGGATCAATCTGGACTAGAAGACGAACTGAATACCGCCTACCACGAAATAATTGGGCACGCGTCCCACCAAAAGGAGCTCGCCCAGCAAATTGCTAGTTACAAGGAAAGGATTGATCACTTGGAAAATCAATTAAAGGATGCTAGGAGCAGCAGAGCTACTGCGTCGGAGGGAGAAGACAAGGGTGAACTTGTCAAGCAGCTGGAAATTGCCCGCAGGCACATGTACGACCAGGACTGCGCACAGCTAAAGCTGAGCGAGAAGCTCGGCAATTACAAAATGCGTCTGGAGAACATGCAGGAACAGTTGCAAAGGGCTCAAGTGATGAAGGCCAAAGTGCAAGATGAGCTGAATCACGCCCAGGAGCATATAAAAGCAATGCAGTCGCAGCAGCTGGATCTGCAAGAGAAATTGGACAGTTCGAAGCAGGAGACGACTACCGCATATGGTCAGCTAAATGATTTGCAGCAGCTGCAACTGCTGACGTTGGAGCAGCTGGAAGACCTCAAAAAACAATTCGACAAGGTTCAGCAGGAGTTGGGCCATGCGCAGGAAGTGCAAGCGAAGACTGTAGAGAAGCTACATAAAGCGGAGAAGAGACTGGAGAAGCCGCTGGAACAACTTGCAGAGGCTGAACAAAAGCTGCAGCGCATAGAGTATGTTATCCAAGAGTACGACGCACTCCAACTGGAGAGGAAACATTTGCAGGAGCAGCTAGGAGAGGAGCAGCAGAAATATTTAGCTCTGACAGAGGGCCAGACAAAGCTGGTGGAGGAGAAGCGTGCGGAAATAGAACGAGAGATTGTTAAGCTTCAAAAGAAACTAGAGCTGAAGGACTTCCAGCTTGAAGCGCAAAAGGCTCAGATCAGCGCCTTCGAAAGAAGAGTCGAAAAGTCGCCGGAGCCGATCAGCAGCACGCACGATTTGGCGCAGGCCAGACGTTCGCTAGTCAAGCACAAGGAGCACCTGGCCGCACTGCGGCAAGAGAAGAACACTCTGCAGAAGGATGTAAAAGCCTACAAGGAACAAGCTAGATGTGCCGAGCAGGAGCTAACCGCATTTCGGCAGCAGCACGCGCGCTCCATGGAGGAATATACGGCATCTATATGCGATATAAAGCGTCTAGAGAAAGCGCTCCACATGGCCCAGTTTGAGCTGCACAGTCTGCAAGCGAAGCTGGCCCTCACCGATAATGAAATAATACGCCTAACATTGCAAGTGGGTGACCTCAACGAGGCGATTCAACTGCAGAAGTTGCACTCGGCTGAGTTGCTGCAACAACTCTGTGAAAATGAAGATTCGCTCGCCGAATACAAAAAACAAATGGCCACCGAATGTGAAATTCACAACTTGGCCCAGAAGAATCTGGACAGGACGCTTCAGGAGCTAAACACCCTGCGATTGCGCCAGAATCTGGTGATCAGCCACCTAGATGTTCGCCTTGGCAAGCTGCAGTCGGAGGGCCGAGGGATAGCGCAGCGTGAGTATAATAGTCGCCGCACCGTGAAGAGCCTGGAGGTAAAGTTGGCCAAATTGAGGAAGGACCTGTCTGACATGCGCTTCTCCAACGAGGGTCTGGTACTAGAGAGGGCAAACTATTTGCATCGCATGAGTGCTATGCACAGAAAGATTGAACAAGATCGCGACAGGATGGAGCACCTACAGACCAAATGTGAGCAGCTGCAGGAGCAATGTGACCATATGAAGGCCAAACGGCAATTGACCACCGGGATGGTAAGTCAGTCATGGATCCATTCAAGTAGGGCTCTAGAAAGTGTTTCGGCTCCAAAGTATGTAACAGGTGGCAGGAGGCAACTTGGATAGTGCAGAGTTTATCATGTTAGTTTTTCATATCACTTACAGAAGAGTCGTTAAAGCTGTCTCCAATCCGTTTGTTCCTTTCTCTGGATGAGGGCGTCGATCTCAACCGACTGATATGTAATCTGGAATGTACTTGCTTCCATCTTTCTCTCCCAATACGCATTGGCTTTGAATTGTAGATTTTCATGTACAGTAAGCACAGCTGGCTTCCTTAAATTAATTAGATCGAACTATAAAATTTGATGTGCAGGTTCTTTTACAGTATTCGTATTTTTCAATTAAAAAAATCAACTTTTTAAACTTAAACTCCCTTTAAATTTAAATGCGCAATTCTGAAACAAGTACAGAGTATTTACTAGTCGGGCACTATCGGCTTGTCAGCATTAAACTTACTCACATAATACTCACACATTTATAACGATTTCCGTTCTATATCTTATATGTGCATGCATACTTTATATATGGAAATTTCGGAAATTCAAGTCACAAACTGTACTATCCATCGATCCTAAGAAAACGGGCCGCAAGGCCGAACATTTTCGACGCAGCCTGGATTAAACTGGATACAGGATTAGCTAGAGGAGCTAGCTGCGGTATTTGTTATCAATTTTCATAAACATTTTTGACGCAGCCGGATTTAAGCTGGAGGGCCGTGGTTTTCACACCTATAGGAGTCTATTTTTTTTTTGTCATCAAATATTTGTAATTTGTTTAAATATTTATAATCTTTGTTCATCAATTATTCATATTTGTTTATAAAGTTTTTATATTTGTGTAAATATTTAATTCGTTCAATTTAAAAATATATTCATCAAATGTTTGCTTACCCCAAAATTTATAAAACTGATTCGTTAAATTATAATACTTGTTAATATTTATATAAATTGCAGAAATATTTGTTAAATTTGTTAAACAAATATTCATGCAATTTCTTTTCATCAAATATTTATATATGTACCAATTTGCATTTATTATATTTTCTTAAACATTTGATAGAAAATGTGACCCCATTGCTTTTAAGCATTTAAATGGAGATAAACTCTTCGTTTAATTGCGACACTCAAATTAAGTAAAATAGATTTAATTGTTTTTTCTTGCCATCACTTTTATTCGCCGCATCCATAAAATGCATAAAATGTGTGCTGCGAGCATGTACTATGATATTGTTGGAGCGGTCCATTAACTCTGTCGCATACTCGAGAACTGGGCATGTTTTGTATAATGTATATAATTTTTTAAATAATTTGCGTTATTTGGTTAATATATATTGTATGTATATAATATGTATATGTATATATAAATTTAGTTAACATTAATTTATTGAATATATGTACTTGTATAATTCATTTTCATATTTTGCGCTGTGTCACAGAAATCAAGAATCTTCAAATTGCTGAAATGTTTTAAAAAGAAAAAAATACTGAAAATAAAAAAGTTCGAAATCGATTCAGTCAGATTTATGCACGTAATTTAAAGTTCTTGAGATTTCTGTGACACAACGAATTAATTTAATAAAGTATAAATTAATAGCTTTAATACTTCAGACAAATACTCGCATGTCTTTCATTTTGTTTTGTTTCTTGTTTTTTGTTCAGCTGCAGTTTGCCGTTGCTTCTTCTATTATTCATAATTTTTGTTGTGTGTAAAAGTTCAGTTGCCAAGTAAAAAATAATTAGTTTGTAATTGTAAATGTAGGAATTAACATGGTTTGGATTATGTTTAGAATGTTTGGATCTGGGATCAATGGCAACCGCTGAATTCCGTTTAAGTCTTTGGCACATTTCTCGTTGCTTGCAATATTCGTTCAAAACCAAAACCAAAACCAAATTCAATTTAAATAAAAAACTGATATGTACTTTATGCTTGGACCTGATACGATGAGATGTATGTCTGTACATAATACGAAACAAGCGCATGTTTAGCGAAGTTAGGAGCGAAGCGAGAAGCTTATAGAGATGGACAGCCAGAAGAAGCGGGAAACAATATGCAACCTGTTCGAATATAATCATATGGTATGTTTTATCTATAATTCAACTGTGGCCAATGCAACATTTTGTGGTGCACACACGAAAACTGTTAAGCTATATAAATTGGTACATGGTTTTCAATTAATTTCTAACAAACATCTCTAGTCATATTTTGTGGATTTTGTTTTGTTTTCTTTGTTTTTTTTTTTTTGGTTAAAATTTGCGGCTAAAAAACGTTTATATGATTTTGATTTTGCTTCAATTTTGTTAATTTTTGTTGGTTTTATCTGTAATTATAATTAATTTGTCAACAAACAATCAGCTACAATTCAACGCTGGCTAATTAATAATAATATGCATTTATTTTAGAATCTGATCGTGTTCAAATGTTCTTCTAATATAAGGCCGCTTGGGGCAACTGCTACAAAAAGGCTCAATTCGCTATAAAGAGATGGCTACAGGGTTAGAGCGAGATACAGATACATTATGTGAGAAAGAGTGAGAGTGAGAGAGGGAGAGAGAGTTATACATAGATTACAGCTTGCCTATATTGCTAATTGCAGTAAATATATAAAATTTCTATATATTTGCCATATTATTATTGCAATACTCGTTTAGAATAATTTGTTAACATGAATTCTAGTCCTCGGCTAAGATTTGCAACAGAGGCAACAATTGTTAATGCTTTTACAAGGATTGTTTTCTAATTAATTAATTTTGCTACTGTTAAAACTGTATCCGAGCAGTAAGTAGAGTAGGCTCGAAAAATACACAACTTTGGAATACGTGTTATGCAAATGTTTAAATACGTTTTAGTTTACTGTTTAAAAACTCGCTACAATAACTAGGTATTCATTCATATTGTATTTCATTAGGGTTTCTCTAATTGGTTAAATTCTTTCAAAACTCACTCAGTGGCCTGCAAACTTTGAAAAACTTGCGCATACATTTTGTTCTTTGGAACATTGCATATGTATAGGGTATGTATGTATGTCTAAATGGTTAGATAAGTAGCTATGTAAATATGTATTATGTATAGAGTAATGTAAAATGTATATGCATATATATTTATATCTATATATATATTGTGTGTGTATGCGGTTCGGTCTCGAAAAGAATCCGTTGCCCGTTGTGCCTGCTAGTCAAGCATAGAATAGTTCCTTGCATTTTGGTCATAGATTAGATTAGTTAGTATACATATAATTGGGTAGTAAAAAGACATACTTTATATATATGTGTAAGTTAACGAAAGCATTTTGCGCAAATGTTGGCATATTAAAGTCAGTAGAACGTCAAAAAAATAAAAATAAAATTACATATTAAGCAATCACGTAAAAAAGAAATAACAACTTAAGATTATGAGAGCACAGCAATCGAATATGTAAATTATGTACATAAAATAAGAAAATGGTAAATACTTAGCGAGCATATAAAACATAGCAAGGGACAGACAGGGACTAAAAATAAATAAATAAAAAGAAAGAACAAAAAATAATAATACATAAAACAAAATCAAACCACATAATTAGAATTTTTGGAATTATGCACTTGTCGCTTAGGCTAAAAGGCATTTACTTCGGCTGGCTGCCACTGCCGGGCGTGGCCGAGAGCGCCATCTTCGAGAGTGTGGCCAAGGAACGTTTCGGGAATGTATTGCTGCCATCCGCTGGATCCGAGAAAAGTTTACGAAAGCTGTAAACACGCAAAACAATGTAATTATCCGAATGTGCGTAAATTAAAACGAGCATCTATTTCAAAATCTCTTTTTGCGCACTCACAACTTGCGTATGCCCGACTCGGAGCTTTTCTTCCAGGGCGCATCGTCTGGCTCATAGGGCAGCGGTCCCTGCACGGGCGCATCGTGTCCAGGTGGCCTGACAATAAAAATGGTGTACATAATCATTAGAAATTTTAATTACATTTTAATGTGTGTGTATACGCACGTTTCGCCAGCCACATTGTCATCGTCGACATCAGCCTCAACACCGTCATCAGCCTCGTTGTCGTCATCGTCGTCGCTATCATCAGAGCTGGATATTTGACGCGTACGTTTGGCACTGGTCGCTGGCTTCAACTCTGCCAGCTGCTGGTTGAGGTTGTCAATGGTAGTGAGCAGCTCGTCGCGCTCGCTGATTAGCTCCTTGAGCTCTCGCGTCGTATATCGTGGCCTATTTGGATCATTTTGATCATCATCGTATGACTGCACCAGATCCTCATTCTCCTTTTCAGCGAGGCCCAAACGCTTGCGCAGCTGATTGATCTCACGACACTGGTCCTGCAGCTGGGCTAGAAAATCGGCACGCTCCTCGCACAGTGTCTTCACCTGCGCCTGCATTAGCTTATGGCGACGTCGCGTGTCCCTTTCCGAGGCCTTTAGGCGCTCCGCCTGAATGTTGACCTGTACAAAACGAAAAGAGAAATACATCAACTGGAGGCTCATCATCTGAAGGCAGTTACTTACATGCTCAAGCTCACTGTACTTGTCCTGGAGTTCGCGTTCACGCTGCTTCAGCTCGTCACGCTGCTTATAGATCTGCTCCTTGAGCCGCTGAAGCACCTGCGTATCGGAGAGCGCGCTATGCAGCTCATTGTTGGTCATACTGATGATGCTCTCGGTAAGGCTGGCGCCCAAGCCGGAGCTTTGTGCAGATGACGATTGCAGGTCTTGGGTTTGCTTTACCAGCCGCTTGTTCTCGTCCTGCAGCGAGGAAACCAAATCAACGAGCTCATTGGTCTCGCTCCGCCACTGCTCCTCAATTAGCTCCAATTCCTTTTCAAAGCGTCGCCGAAACTCTGCCTTCTCCAGCTTTTCGCTTTCCAGCTGGGCGATCTTCTCGCGTAACTCCTGTATGGTAGAGTTCTCGCGCTCATTTTTCGTTGCCAATGCCTCCAGCAGCTCCAGCGTATTGATTATCTTGGGCATTAGACCGCTTACTGCATCGGTGCCATAGCGATCCATGATCCGCTCATACTCCTTGCCAATATCCGATGCCAGATCGTAGACATCGACCACGCCAATGTCATCGATGGCGTCCAAGACCATTTCGCCCATTTCATTGAGATGGAAGCCGGGCATCGAGCGTGGTTGCACTCCCGATTTAACTTCGCTCAGCAGCTGGCGTTGTGCGTTGTGGTGCTAGTAATCTATGTACAGGGGGCGGGGGGTTCACTTGGCTTTACATAAACACATACACGCAAGCACGCACACGCACCCACAGACGCACAGTTGGTGTATTGAATTCGCATTCACTTTATCTTTTGTGTCGCCCACAACAAATTGCACATCTGTTAAACAAATTATGCGCATATGCAACGAGCTCGAACTTGGACCTGCAACTGGACCTGGTTTTTATAAACCTCTCGATGACTGCATCATACTCGCTGGATGAGTAATAAATAAAAATTTGCAAGTCCCCCCCTTCAAACGGAGCGCTCGCAGCTGTCCACGGAGAGCTATGCAAACCAGCGTTGCTCACTCTCGCTCTACACATGCGCGCAGCGTTGCTTCTTGCCTGTCATCGAGCTGAGACGTTGTAGCATATTAAATTAAACAATTAGTGCAAATTTAATTGATCTTAATGAAATATTGCTAGTAAGCGCATTATCCTATATTAAATTGCAAAGCAAAATAATTTACTTATATTATGAGCTTAGTGATGCACAACCCCTACTCACCAGTTACTTTTGTGAGTATGAATAGGTAAACAAGTCACAGCTGTGATTTAATATTTGAAAAACAACAGTCGCTTCTCTTTATAATGCACATTGCAGCTTGCTTTTATAAAATTGACTATTAAACATTTTGGTTAATAACCTTTTGTTACTTTTTCTTGCAATGAGGTTGATATATGCATCGAGTAACTGTAGTCGCAGTCACTTTGAAATCAAAATATTGCCCAACATATTGGCAACTTTGGAAATTAAGGGTTCACAATGTCTGGCAGCACTAGCTTGGTGCTGCTATCGGTTTACAGTTATGCCCACCTAACCGGAAATTTAAAATCCCTCCAAACCTGAATGATTCAACTTATTAATGTTAAATGAACAACTTTAAGGGGAATATATATATAATAAGATATTACTGATTTAATCGACCCTTATTAAACATTTTATTCCCGTCGCATTTTCTTGTTGCTATACTTTTGTCATGTTATGTGCAGTGCTTCATTAATATTTTTAAATAAACATATTTCTATACAAATTTAAAAATTAGTTTTAACCTACATAAACATTGCGAATGCAAACAGATCTTTTGGTATTATTATAATTACTTTTAAATATTTATACTGCTTGCGCCAAGTGAAAATTCGAAATTTTTTAAGAATCGCTATCGATAGTTAGCAGCTCTCAAGTGCTCATTGCGAAGCGGTGACGATAGTTTCACGCTGCCCCTGGAATGAATGAATGAAATCCTTTTAACATCAAAATGTACAGCCCTCAGCTTGGAAATTTTTAGCCTTGGGGGAAGTAAAAGATGAATACGATAGTTTTCGAAAATTCAATTGATACTCACATCGATGTCATCGGTGGCGCTCAGACAGATGTTTTGGTATCGATATGTTGTGAACATCTCTATGCACGTGTTGCTGGATTGTTGGCTTATTTAAACAGTAAAAACATGGCCAAAAAGCCGGATAAATCAGTAAAGCCGAAAGCAAAGTCTACGAAGCAGGAGAAACCCTCGAAGCAGGAGAATCCTTCAACTTCAGCCCAATCCCAAAATGGTGATGGAGAAGGGAGCGGCATTTGGAAGGACGAGCGCTTTCAGCATTTGCTGGCCGATCCGCGCTTTCGCGGCGTGCCCAAGGTACAGCGTAAGGTGAAGATCGACAAGCGCTTCCAGGGCATGTTCGACGATGATAAGTTCAAAGTCAAGTACACCGTGGACAAGTACGGCAGACCTGTGAATAAAACAAACGCCGAGGATCTGCGTAAGTTCTACGAGCTCGATGATAACGAGAGTTCGGACGAGGATGAGGAGCAGAAAAAAGCGACGAATGACAATGAGGATGAGGAGCGCCGAGCCGAAGAGCTGGCCATCACACAAGATGACCAGGCCAAAGATGCTCTGCAGCTGGACAGTGATGAAGATGGCTCCGAAGTGACTGAGAACTTGCGCGAGCGTCTAACGAATCCAAATATCGATTATGCCCGCGGCGAGGGACGCCTAATGACCGACTCCTCTTCGGATGAGGAGAGTACCGATGATGAGGACGGTCCAGAGCTGCAAATCGATCATGTCTGGGGTGAGCTGGATATGGATGCGGAGTGCACGGAGGAAGCCACACGTCGTCTAGCTGTGTGCAACATGGACTGGGATCGCATACGTGCCCAGGACTTGATGGTCTTGCTCAGCTCTTTTCTGCCGCCCGGTGGCAGTGTTCTGAGCGTCAAAATCTATCCCTCCGAATATGGCAAGGCGCGCATGGCCGAGGAGGATGTGCATGGCCCCACCGAGCTGGTCAGCGCCCAGCCCGAGAACGAGCAGGACTCTGACGAGGAGCTGGTACGTGAGCAGGACAGCGATGCAGACGAGGGCGACGACTATCACATGGAGAAGCTACGCCAGTACCAGCTGAATCGCTTGCGCTATTACTACGCCGTCGTCGAGTGCGACAGCCTCGCCACAGCGGAGAAGGTGTACAATGAGTGTGATGGCATCGAGTACGAGAGCTCTGCGACGCGTGTGGATCTGCGCTTTATACCAGATGACACCAGCTTCTCCGAGGACATGCCCACGGACGAGTGCTATGAGCTGCCGGATGCGAGCAACTACAAGCCGCGACAGTTTACCACCACGGCGTTGCAGCAGGCGAAGGTGGATCTGACTTGGGACGAGACGGCTTTAGACAGGCGAGAACTGGGCGACAAGCTGTCCAGCGGCAAGGTGGATCAGCTAAACGACAAGGAGCTGCGCCAGATTGTTGCCTACAGCAGCGAGGAGGACGAAGACGAGGACGAGCAAGAGGAAGAGCAAGAACTGGAGCAGGAAGAGAAAGAGGCTGATGCTGTACAGAAAAATATAAAGAAGCCAGCAAAGCAAACGGCAGAAGCCGCACCGAAGCAGTCAGCTAAACGTCTCAAACAAAAGGAGCGCATTGAAAAGTATAAAAATCTGCTGGCCGAGATCAATGCACAGGAGCAGAAGTCCAAGGAGAAAGAATATGAAATGGAAATGTCCTGGAATATTGATGTGCCCGAGGCAAGTGACACCAAAGAACCAGCCAGCAACAAATCTCAACTGACGCCCATCGAGAAGGTGCTGCAAAAGCGCAGCGAGAAGAATAAGCTGCGCAAGGAGCAGCGTCGTCGCAAGCAACTGGAACTCCAGGGCATTGATCCGGATGCGGCGCACGACAGCGACAACGACTCCATACCCGACGGCATTGACATGAACGACTCCTACTTTGCCGAGGAGTTTGCCAGCGGCGACTATGAGCAACCCAAGCTGAGCAAAAAGGCCAAATCGAAGAAGCAAAAGCTTATCAAAGCAGCGCCTGCTGATGACGAGGCGGAGGCGCAACTGGCGCTGCTGCTGGATGATGACGACGACGTGGAACAGCAGCCAAAGCAGCACTTTAGCCTGGCAAAAATACTTAAGGAGGAGCAGGCAAGCAGCAGCAGCAGCAAGCGCAAGCGTCGCAAGCAGCTAAAGAAGTCGAAAAACAGCGAGAGCAAGCCACAGGATGAGGATAACTTCCAGGTGAATCTAAACGATGAGCGCTTCAATGCCGTCTACAAGTCGCACGAGTACAACATTGATCCCACGCACTCCAACTACAAGCCCACCAAGGGCATGCAGCAGCTAATAAGCGAGAAATTGAAGCGACGCCAGCACCAGAACGAGCAGCACGAGGTCGAGGTTGAGCAGCCGGCAAAGAAGCGATCCAAGCAGCAGCTGGAACAGAACGCGCTGGTTAAGAGTCTCAAGATGAAGATTCAACAGCGCAAGGCGTAGTTAGTCCACATTTACAATTTATGGCTTACATCGTGTATAATATAACTAGAAATAAAGCTAACAATGTTTAGGATGACATGCAAGGGCTAACAATCCAACAATTATAGTATTAATCACAAATGGTCATAGTAAAGCATCAAGGCAGATCGAATCGGCCTAGGCTCACAATGCTTACAATTACAAATTACACAAGATTGGGAGCACATGAAGGGGTTCACAGTTTACAGCCAATAATTATTTCTCACTAATAGTCATACTTAAAGTAGCGCCCATAGATGCTGTGCGTAATGTGGGGATCGATGGAGATCAGGTCGGGCAGGCAAATGCGTTGATCCGGCTTGTAGACAACCATCGATTCACAGAGACGCGCCCAAATGGGTTCGTAGCGTAGCCGCATCACCTGACAGTCCAGTCTGGGCTGGACCATGGCCTTGACAACGCTGCGCACCTGGCCAAAGGGATCGTTCGGTCGGAGCAGCGCTTCAAAGGGATTGCGACCGATGCACAGCTCGTATAGCACTAGGCCCAGCGACCAGATGTCCGACTTAAAGTCACATTTAGCGCCACACATTATCTCTGGCGCCATGTACAGCGGTGTGCCGAGCACCTGCCACGGCTGCTGCTTGTCCGGCGCATGTACATTGGATATGCCAAAGTCGGCGTACTTGACGCGATCGTTTGCATCGAGCAGCATGTTCTCCGGCTTGATGTCGCGATGTATTACGTGGCGTATGTGCAGATATTCCAGGCCCAGGATCATGTCACTAAAAAAACGCAGCAGCCGCCGTTCGTCCAGCAGCCCATTGGCAGTTTGGCTCGTCCGTTGGATGACATCGCGCATGGTGCCGTTCGGTGCATACTCCATCACAATGTTAACCGTGCCGGAGTGCATGAAGTAGCGTAGGAATTGCACGATATGCGGATGCCGCAGCTGTGAGATGATATAGATCTAAGAAGCGCAGTTAGTTGGCCCACCGATAAACATATTCAGGTGCTGCATTACCTCCTCCTTGATTAGGGCCAGCTCACTCCTTGGATTACGCATAATAATGCGCTTCACGCAAACTTTACGTTCATTACGACCCTCGCGCTGTAGGCACAAGAAGACGCGTCCAAAGGTGCCTTGGCCCAGTATGCGAACGGTGCGGAGACTCGCATCACCCAGATCCATGGCACGGCTTTTGCAAGACGACGGGTTAACAGTTACATTTCATGCGTCGCGCGCAATATCGATAGAACAAGCATCATTTTTATCGAATCGATTCACCTTTTTCGATTTATCTTCTATATAACCCGGGATGTTTGAACTTGTTGATATCATTGTTACCAATTTAAAAATAAAGGGCCAATATAGTTTTCTAATCGATTTCTATTCTTGTGTTTTATTAAAAGCTAGGTAGAGTTTCTACAAATCCAATGGCAACGCATTCTGCTAATAAGCCTAAGCTTAGCGTCTTTTCGCTAAAAAAATTCTCTTGCTTTTAAGAATTAAGTGCTCCTGCCAGCGAACCAGTTTTGGTTCCTGTTTTTTTCCTTCTGTTTGGAGCTATGTGAATCAGTTTAGAACTAGTTCCGCGTGGAGTATTCACTGATCTGCAAAATGTAACCAAGTTTTCTATACAATACATCAGAAAGAGATTCTTAGCTAGGCAAATTAATATTTAGCCACTTTTGGCTTATATGATTGATTCATTGGCTTATATGATTGATTCTTCCACCACAGCTGTTTTGATGAGTCGGCAATTGTAATCGGACAATCGCTTGCGCCAACAATAGGTGGCATCTCTGGCCACCGGCTAAGTGACGGTTATGAATTTAAATTTGTAAGCTTAACGATAGTTTGTCGACTTCCTGCGATATGGGAAGAGGATTGATATTATGTAAGCGTCTTAGCGCTTATTAAATGATTAATTAAAACGGTTTTTGTGGCAGGCGAGTTTTACACAGCGGCAACAGCGGCTTGTTATGCAAATTTCGTCGTCACCGTGCAGAAAAGTAGTTTACTTTTACTTTCGGACTGCACTCGCGGTGCCGATGGAAGCATACTAACCCAAAGAAATTCAATCGATTGCAAACACAACGGTACTGTAGCAGTAAAAAGCAGCAGCAACGGCAACAACACCATTTGGCAGACAGTTTAAACTGTTTGCAGCGGCTTTAAGCTTCGGCTCGAATCTACATTTTTATTTTTGGGAAATTTTTGCAATTTCAAGCTTCCTGAGCCAAATACAGACATTCACTGCATGATTATCTAATCGCATTGCATTTTAATTGCTAACACTTTTATTTTTATGCATTTAAATGTTAATTGGAGCACTAGGAAACTGATTTAAGCGCTTGATAGTTCGATTATAAGTCAATTAGCTGGCGGCACGAGAAGATTGGGAAAGTATTTACGCAAACATTTATAATCATTAAACGTTTTAACGTTTCTCAACCTTTCACTGCCAAACCCTTGCGTTACACCGTAAATTGCAGCATGCTGCAAGCTCTTTGTTTTACCTTGCCTCATAATTAGGGCTGTCAATCCATCATTCGTGCCACCAATTTCTAAAGCCGTCATAAATCTTACATTTACATACTGTGTTTTTGCTGTTTTATTTTCATTTTTTTTGGGGCGCGGCTTGGAACGAGGAAGCGTAGCAACGAGTCTTGCAACAATTGTTATCGCTGCTGATGCAAGCAGCGCAGCTGACAATTATTGAAAATCCATTTTTAATTAGCTCATGCAAAACAGGAAGATTATCCATTGGTCAGCTATACGAAGTGGCGGGGTTTTCCCCCCAAAGAGATTTGAATTTTCATAAAAAATGCCACCAAGTGTCTAATTGGCGTCATTTCTGCGGCTTTCAACTAATCAAACTGAATGTTATTTATTAATGTAATTTGATATGTATTTCTTTGTTTGTTTTCTTTGCCTGACCGTTACATATATGAGTGTGTATTTTTTTTAATATGTTTATTTTTTGTTCAATTACCTTGCACTTGCATTACATATTTGTGCACCGCTCGACCGGTTAGTGGTGACGGCGGTGGTTAACCCGCCTGCGGTGGCTGCCACACACAACAACAACAGCAACAACAGCAACAACAGCAACAACAACAACAATTGGCAACGGGTTTTCAATGGAAAAGCGCCTGCCACAAGTGAGGGCCAAGCGGGCGTATACGTAATAATTTTTAATTGTACGAGTTTCACACGCATATGCCAGCAAGAGAGTGTGCGTGCGTGTGTGTGCGTGTGTGTGCAACAACAACAACAATAAACAAAGCTAACGACAACTTCTCTTATATGCCGCTAACGACTTCGACTTCGACTTCGACTATGACTTCGATTTCGATTGTTGTTGTTGCCCATTTTGAAGTTCGTTGCCGCAGCTACTCAATTGTTGTCGTTGTTGTTTTTGTTGTTGCTTGTGTTGCACATTTCACTGGCTCGTAGCCTGTTCACATCGGCTCGCACACATCATTTTTTCGGGTATAAATCGAATCTGGTCCCAAACGCCAAGCCACATTCAGTCCAGCAACGTCAAGGAGTCCACAGCCAGCAAAAACTCCTAACCAAACAGTTTATTTCCTTTGAAAAGTGATTAGGATAATTTTTTTTTGAGTTATTTTTTTGTGCGTGTTTGTGCTAAGCCGAAAACTAAACAAAATGCTGAAATTTATTGTAAGCAAAATACATTTTAGTAAAAAAAAAAGAAACTTAAATGCCGCCCGAGCAAGGCTCACAAGAAAAACTTAAATAAATCAACTAAGAATTCCAAAATTTAAATTCAAAACAAATCCTGCATTCAACTAATCCTTGTGTTCAATTTCCCTTATTTTAATATATTTTTGTTTTGTGTTTGTGTGTTATATTTTTCTGTTGACTTAGCTTCCGTGTCTGGCACTGTTGGCACTCAGCGGCGCGTTGAAGATTCACGAGTACGAGCATGAGGAGCACGCCAAGTACGAGCCGGAACATGAGGAGACCGAGGTACATCATGAGGTGGATCACAAGCACGCCACATCGCATCAGAGCGTTAAATTCCATCACTATCATGCCGTGCCCGTCTACATTAAGCACGAGGATCAGCATCTGGTCAAGAAGCCCATCGAGATTGGCGGCACCAAGCAGAAGTTGAAGATATTGCACCCGAAAACCGAACATAATCACAATCATGGACTTGTGCTGGAGAGCCACAGCGAATCGCATTTGCATGAGCATGGACACTACGAGGAGCCAGTGCATCATTCCGAGCACTACGAGCATTATGCGCACCATGAATAGGCATAGGTGGGGCCCTTTTAGACCCAATTCTCCCTAACCCATTTTGCCAAATAATTTTTAATATTTTCTCATATCAGATGAGAGTCTGTTTCTGAAATATGTACTTAAGTTTAAGGCTTTGTTTTTTTTTTTGTGAAATAAAATTTTGCCCAGAGTATTATTAAAAAAACAAGCGAGTATTGTAATTGACAGAGTAATATTATGATGAGATAATGATAGCATAAATAAAAATGAATACCAGGTAATATTGAATTATTTAAATTTATAAGTGTATTGAACAAAATTGATTTCAGCTAAAATTCTCAAATGCCAAAATCTGTTGGATCCCAAAATCTGAGTAAGAGAGTTTTGCACAATTTTCAGAGATATGTTAGATGTTTTTTTTTTAGTTTGTCTTAAAGAAAGTCTCGTATTTACGAGATAAAGACCGAAACGAGCATAAAGGTAGTACCTTCCGATATTTTTGCAAAGTACAAGTGTTTTTTTTTTAAGCTGTGATAGTTGTGGGTAATGTCATCCGTTTTCATACCCTAGCTGAGTAACCTTAGCAGAGCTTAAGATAAACCATAATTTATTGGGCATACAAGCTTTACAAGCTTTAAGCACACTTAACAGATTTACGATATCTGCAGTGAGGAGCTGTTGGTACAGTTAATCAACAAAGACTATCGAGAGCTTTAAGTGTACACGCTAGTCGAATTTCAACTTGACAACTCAAGTGAGCTTTAAGAGCTTTTAAGCTCGAGCTACTGCTTTTGATCATCTGCAGGTTAGAGCTTCAGGTACAGTTAGTCAGCCAGGTTGTTTACAGCTTTTAGTGTTAACGCTCATCGAGTATCAACATGAAAGCTTTTGTGTGCTTTTAGAAATTTTAAGCTCAGACAACAATTTTTAGAGAATAGCTTTAAGTATTATGAGTCAATAAAACAGCCTTTCTACAGCTAATTGAATTTCCCAAGCTTTCAACCACAAAGTACAGCTTTCGAATATATGCAGGGGAGCGTTTTAGGTGTAGTTAGTCAACCTAGCTGTTTAGAGCATTTGGTGTGTAAGTTTGTAGAATTAAAACTTGAAAGCTTCTTGAGCTTGAGACAAAAAACTATAGTTTTAAGATATGCGCAACGAAAAGCTTTGAGTAAAGTTAGCCAACAAAGCTTAATGTTTAAAGTAAGAGCTTTTGAGCGCTTTGAGAGCTTTGCTAGCACAATATCAAGTTAAGAGCTTTTAGTACTGCTAGTCAAAGCTGCCTGTTTAGAGCTTTAAGTGAGAGCTTTTAAGTAAACACAACAATTTAAAGCGATCCGCAGTGAAGAGCTTTCACAAATTTGGGCACTTTTATTACTAGTTTCCTTCGAGCTTTACCCTTGTTTGTTTGTTCATTTTAAAATTTTTTTTATTGTGTACTACATGTTACATACAAATGTTTTCTTTTCTAGCGCGTTTAAATCTTTTTTTCCGTTTACTACTTTGCCGGCTCGTTGAGTAACAACTGCAGCTGCAACTGGACCCCTCCGCCCCCGCTCACGTATAGCAACTGGCTATAAAATAAATAATTAGTAATAGCAAACTATAAATAACTAACAAAAAAAAAATCCAAAAAAAAAACAACAACATAAGATTCTGGTATTAACAAAATTGTTCATATAATAAGCTATATAACAGACTATTTCTTCGGCGGTGGTCGCAGTGCCAGATTGGCCTCCAGATCCTTGGCCAGCTTGCCGCCAACGCCAACAGCGCCACCGAGGCCTGAAGCGCCGACGTTGCTGCGCAACAGCTTCTTGCCGGGCGCACCACCGGCGGAGGGATGCGGGGCACCGCCTCGCTTGCCGCGCTTGGCAGCGGCGCCGTTGCCAGAGTTGCCCCCGCTGCCGCCGCCGCCAGCGCCTCGAAGCAGCTGCGTCTTGTAGGTGTGCTGATAGCCATAGCCTTCGGGATTGTTGTTAAACTTGGGACTGTAGCTGTCGTATTCTAGGCTGGTGGAGGCAGCAGTCTTGTAGCCACCGCCAGCGGGCTTGGCATGTGCCAGGCGCATCGACTGCTCCCAGCTTTCACGCTCCTCCTCGTACTTGGCGGATAGCGGCTCCTTCTTGAGCACATATTGATAAGGCAGCGGATAGCCCTCCTCACTGCCATCATTGCCAATGCCGCTCGGCTGTTGCTTCTCGGCCAACTCCATGCTGCTAGACGCCGGCTCCGCAAAATAGCCCGAATAGCCCTTATAGTCTGGATGCAGATCGGCGGCTGCCTTCAGCTTGTGCCTGTACTCCTGACCCTGAACCGAATGGATGTTGCTGGCACTGCTGCTGGCGCCGCGTAGCTTTTCCGCCTTATAGGGCAATGAGTTAATGTCATGATAGATATCTGAGTTGAAATACAGCTTTTGCGGCTTGATCGTCACCCGCTGCTCCTCCTGTTCGCGCTCTGGCGTCGTTACCACATGGGACAAGTCGAACTCCTCGATGTTTTTTAGGGCAGCGCCATGATCAAAGTGCTCGGCGCTCGTCTTCAGCGGCAAGGTGTAAGGCTTCGACACGGTCTTCACAGTGGCCGTTTGCAGCGGCGCACGCGTCTTAATCTTATAGATGAACTCCACATTGGGTGCCAGCGCGTCTGCGGAAATATCCGGTGCCTGGTATGCGGTTTCCGTTTCGGATTGGTATCGCTGCGGCTTGGTCAGCGCATGCGGATTCTGCTTGCTCAGCTGATGATGCTGTCCATGGTATTGGCCATGTTGCTGAATGGAAGGACCCGGCTGACGACCTTGGCCAGCTGCCGGCGGACTGCTGTACTTGGGACGCACCGTGCTGCTGCTATAGCGCTTCTCCTCGCTCGAAACTGAGCCACTGGCACCGCCGGAACTGGGTAGCGACAGCAGCTTGTAGTAGGTTTTGGTGGCTGGTGGCGCCAGCTCCTGTGGCGTGGTAATTATCTTGCCCTCAGCCTCCAGCTCCTTCATGTACTTGATGACAGACTTTTCGATTTGTTTCATTATTTCTGCCTTGGGTATTTCCGTCGATGCAGAGACGCGCACCTTCTCCTCCGCCTCGTCCTCGATGTTGCGGTACAATTGTGGCTGCGGCTGCGATGCCGGATAGCTATAATATTTCGTGCGATAGAGACGTTCAATGTCGCTACCAACGGGCTCGGTCGGGGCGGGTGTGTCATACAGCTCATAGCTGCGCGGCACCGACTCCTTCTCATAGACGGGCGCTGGAGCGGGTAGGGACGATTCACTGGATGTGGACTCAACTGAGTGTTGCTGTTGATGCTGCTGCTGATACTGCTGCTGATGCTGCTGCTGATGCTGCTGCTGATGCTGCTGTTGCTGCTGATGTTGCTGATGTTGCTTTTGTTCTTGTTGCTGCTGCTGTCGCTGCTGCTCGGCCAGAAGCAGCGCCTGCTGCTGCACAAGCTGAGCCTGCAACTCTGCCTGCATTTGTGCCTCCAGCAGCGCCGCCTGTGCCTGCGCCTGCGCCTTGACATGCTTGGCCTGCTCCAGCTCCAGCTGTTGCTGCTGCTGTTGCTGTTGCTGATGATGATGATGCTGCTGTTGCTGGACTTGGGCATGTGCCTGCTGCTCGGAACTGGAACTGGAACTGGAGCTGGCACTGAAGGGTGTGTTGGCCACAATGCGCAGCGGCGCCTGTGACTCCTTGTGCCGTGTGCCATAGGCCATTTTCATAGCGTTGGACACGTACTCGGCCGCAGTCTCCGAGTCCTCCAGTATAACAGTCTTCTCGTGACTCAGATCACCAACAGCAGCTCCAACGGATTCGGCTGTTGTGCTCATGCCGCCGCCGTAGTAAGCACTGATCTTGCCGTGCGGCGACAATGAAGACGTCTCGTGCTCGGGTCGTATTAGATTCAGCTCCAGCTGCCCGTAGCTATAGTCTAAGGGTGCACATAAAAAAAAAAAAAAGAAGAGAGAGAGAGAGAGAGAGAGAGGGTTATAGATTAGTAATTGGCATAAGCCTATATTTGTGGCAGTTGTTCATTTATGAAGCATTCAGAATGTCACTGAATTCCAAAACTTCATTAGCTAAACACACAGCTGATAAGCAGTGCTTTTCACGAGTACAGTGAATACGCACTAAAGGCTTCTGTCAATCTCGACTTGCCCTGTAAACTAATGAGCTGCTGCCATTTTTAACATTGCTTAAGCTTCAGTGAGCTTGCATTTTGCATAGAGCTTATTTGGAACAAAGACTCTTTTGTCACAGGCTGTAAATTTTATCGCCAACAATTGCAATCAATTTGGAAAGCAATTTATTAGTTAATAAATGTGGCAGTTGTTTGAACTCAGATACCCAACCTCTTGGCAGCTTTCTAGCGGGGCATGAGTACAGTGACTTTTCGTTATATGCCTATGATAAGTGCAACTATTGTGGTAGTACATTTTTCTAATCCCACAAGCGTTTTTTGTACCACTTCGGTTATGCTTTAATGAGCTTTCAATTTACTTATCCATAGTTGTTGTGTTCTTAAGCAAGCTAAGCTCAGAAGTTCTTGCAGTAACATTCGAAAGTTTCATTCAAAAGTTTCAATTAAAATATTTTACTGATACTTAATTGCAAAGCTCTCTAGTTTCAGTTAACAGCATCATCCAATACTTTTAGCTACAATATGTACTTAATCGTGAAGCTCGCTTACCTAAAAGAGCTTGCAGAAATTTCAAAGTTTTAGTTTCGAGTATTTAACTGATTCCTATTTAATCGCAAGGCTCGCGTTAAGCCACAAGCTTCTAATTTGAAAGTTTCAGCTAAAAGCGTTTCACGAGTAATCACTTAATTGTGAAGCTTACTTTCAACGACAAGCTCCAGAAATATTTGAGGCTTTCGCTAAAAAGTTTCAGTTTAAAGCTCACCTGGAGTTGCCTCCTTGGTCCTTGCCTGTAGTGCACCGCCCCGTCGCGGATAATTGCGCCCATGTCCATCAGAGCGACTTGCGGCCAGCGCCAGCTGATCCGGCACGGTGCCTCTCTCGCTGGTCTCCTCCACATTGGTCTTTCCAGCCGGTCGACGGCTGATGCGGGGCTGTGACTGTGCTTCACAACGGGACAGCTGCATGATGAACTGTAAATGGAAGTGGGTGTGTACAGAGTTAGTAAGAGAGGGAGAAAGGCAAAGAGAGAGAGAGAGAGCGAGAGAGAGAGAGAGAGAGGAGCAAGTGGAGCAATTAAATGGTAATTGTTTTGCTGCTCGATGTCGTTTGGCGCCGATTGGCGGCCATGTGAATGCAAAGCGCACATTTAGTTGGCCATTTGCTTTTGTTTACAGATAGTTGGACGCACATATATATATAAATATATATATTTCGTAATTAAACTAATTAAAGTTAACCAATTCGCTTTCGCTTTCGACGGTGGAGGGGGAGGCAAATGTTTTTTTTTTCGTTTTTTCGCATCGGGAACGGGCCATTTGCCAGTGGATGCCTCCGCCAACCGTCTCCACGGCGCTGATCGACGTGGCGCTTGAGCTGCGTCCGCTGCAAGTTCATTGGCCCGTGCATATAGATGTTGGTAGCGGTAGCAATTGAGCATTCGAGTTTGGCGAAGAGCGGGGCCTTTAGCGCCCCAACATGAAATGTTTTCGGCACGCAATTTCGTTGTGATTGAAGCCAATTTCCAATTGCCGACTGCTTAGTGCCTGGCGGCGATTAATGCCATCTCAAAGTGGATGTTAAATGCGAGCCAGACAGCTTCAGTGAACATTGAGTTACTGTTCGTTAATCGATCCTGGCCCCAATTGAGGCTTTAGCTTGACTTGCTGTTGGCTTTTACAGCAATCGGAAAAATATGGGAATAATGTCGTGTTCAGCAATCATTTTACTTAGAATCTCCGCCATATACATGATCGTGGGAGGACTACGTTAGCCGCATATATAACCAAATATTTTAAACTTCGAAATTTTTTAGAAACCTTAAATATTTTGAAGACTTAAGACCTTAAGAACTTTGGTGTGAATAATTAAATTACATTTTACTTCAACTTATTCAAACCTTAAAAACTTTGTAAATGACTTACGCTTTTTTGATTGAAATAGGCTTAAGCTTAAACAGAGTATTAAACAAAAAGAAATATGCTGCTATAATTTAAAAGAATATAAATTATCACTACCCATAAACATTGCTAAAGTGTAGATAAGTGTTTACTAAAAATTAGGTTGAAACGGTATCTTATGCAGACTATCGGGATCGTAACAGAAATATCGCCTCAACCTACTTACAGCCTTACTACACACAAAATTTTTACTTATATTAAACATTTGGATTAATTTTGTTATATCCTTCTGCGTAAGCCCAAAGGAATATCCTAAATTGTTAAACCATCTTCTTCAATGTTTTCCCAACTGTTCTATATACTCCTCCATTGGACGTTAAGTTTTCGTTTCAGTTAAATGTGTCTAAATTTTTTTGTTTAAATTTAAATATCCTCTATAGCTCTGGCATGGGCCTTAAAATGCGATGTCTTTGAAATCTGCCTAAGGCTATGATTTAGTCTCAAAGAGTCGAAGTTTTCCGCAACGTGTTTTACTATTTTTTTAAGGATATTAAATGTCAGATCCATCGGCAGCTTTGTTTGATTTTATATATCATATTTAACACAGATATTTTTATGATTCGAAAAGCACTTTTCATTGGAAGCTTGAGGCGCGCACACACAATAAAAAAATAGCGATATAAATAGTGAAAAATCCTTTGTTGATAGGCCCTGCCAGCCACAGCTGCCACTTGGGAGCAACCAATTGCACTACTTACAATTAGCATTAGTGCGGCAAGGCAGAGCCACCGATTCAGATTGAGGCACAGGTGCAGGCTCTTGGTGGACCGAAAACGCGTTGCCATTGCGAAGATCATTTCGCGTCTGTTACTGGATTTGAATTGTTTGCGGCGAGCTGTTATGGCGGGGCTTTTATAATGACGTTGCCGGCGCAGCGGAAAATTTATGCGAATGTGCGAGCCAAAGAAAACTTGCGAATTGCACACACAGCAAACAAAAGCGAAAGAGAAAGATTGCACGTTCGAGGAAGACAGGGAGAGAGAGAGAAAGAGTGAGAGTGAGAGAGAGGGGGAGATGTGTAGTTACGGAGACATTCGCTTTCAAGGCAACAGCAGCGGCAATTGCAACGCCATCATCCGATGCACATTCAAATTGTAACGGCTACTTAACGCACTGCGTATGCGTGATATGCTCGGCTATCATAATGAGCCGTAACGCATACGCCAGGTGGGACGCGCACACGAACTTGTGGCCAGAGCGGCTGCCGAACACAAATCAAATGTCAAATGCTGAACTGGTTCCAGCCTGCAATTTCGATTTCGTTTTGGCCAATTAAGCCATAAGCTGCAACACAACAGTGAAAATGCAGTTCAATGAAATGATTACGCCTGTCATTGTTAGCGCCCGGAGAGAGAGAGAGAGAGGGAGAGGGACTGAACAGGGTAGCCGGCGCTTTGGAAGGTGACACACTCAAGCGTTCAATAATAATAATTACATTTGTTGTAAATGTGGTTGTATAAATTAAAGTTTGCCAAAATGCGCTCTTGATTGATATATGTTTTGCTTGCATTGCAGGACCAAAGCATTATTTCTATATGGCTTCAGTTGTTTTGTTCCTATGAACAAGTTCCGGTTTTGGTTCTCAGTTTTGGTGTTGGTCTAAGATGAATTTGGATTTTAGCCAAACCAAATTTAAGCCTAACTATTGTCAAGTTCAAAGTATATAACTTTTGAGTTCGACTCAGTCACAAAGCGTGTATAGCTCCAACCATTGAATTTATCTAACTATGTTATATATCTGATAGTAGCTTTCTTATAAGAATATATCTTAAATATTATATTTATATTCTTATACAAGGCTAAAACATCTAAGAATTGCTTTCCTTAAAATTTTCAAAATTACATTAGTTTCTAAGCATTGAACCTAAATCTGATTTAAGATGTGCAAACTCATCTGCACGATCCGGAATATCCGGAATTAAAGCGAATTTGGTTCGAACCGTCAACCAAACCTCTGACAATGTTATTTGGACTTGCACCTCTGGCTGACGCCTAGTTAATTAAATACTTAATTATTTAACTAAATATATCTATTATACTTCTTGTCATTCTAAATAAGCATACATATTCTAAATAAGTCAAGATGTTGTTAAAAAAAACTCAGTCTGCGCAAAGCTCTCAGCATAGCTTGCCTCTAAAGACTTTCGCAGTTGCAATGGACGCGGGCGTGATCATCTCCCAGCAGCACATCTCAACCACAACAGCCACAGCACAATGAGTGGCTAGGCAAAAAGTATATTTTCTTTGTGTTTTATTATTGTTTCGTCTATGCGCTTTAAGGTTTCGGTTACTTCATGGTCACTGATTAAGTGCATTGTAATTAACGGAGAGAAAAGAGTTGCACAAAATTTATGAGGATTTTTATCAGACTGTTTGGACAGCCACAACAGCAGCTGCTGTTCGCAACTGTTTGGGGCACTCGCTGCTGATTTACCAAAAAAATTGCGATGCATCTGTGAAATGGGATTGCGAATAAGATTTCAATTTCGATTGTGGCCAATATAAATCAGCTGGCTAATTAATTTTGCTTTGCCTTTGAATGGGGTTCATTGTGCATTTTAGCTTATAACCAGCCGACAGTTTGTTATGATTTATATTTATATTCTGGCAAAAGCGTTTGCCACACTTAACGGCGATAATGGGCAATTGGTAGAAACTAAAACAATATATCCCAATCCAGGCAAAACAATAACAAAATTCGCATGTCGGCAACTGAAACGGGACTGGAACTGGGCACATGCCACATGTGAAGATCAACAACCTTGCCAATGCGAATACGTGAATGCGATGCATGCGCGTTATATGGCCAAAAGCCACAGCAATAACAACAAGACTTGCATCGACGGCAACGGCCAGCGACGATGTCGGCTACGGTGCACAGTGGATAAGTCAATTCATAAATCCATTTAATCTAGTTTGATTCGTTTTTTTATTGTAGAGTTCAATTAAATATGCAAACAATTCAAATTCGGACACCCAATACCACAAGAAGCTTTAATGAGCTTTAATAAGGATTAAATTATCAAATTTTAGATAGCTATTGAACTTTTATTTTCGTTAGTTAAGGAGAAATACACTATTGAAGCTTTACTGAACTTGCAGACCTTTTAAAGCTATGCAACTGGCTATGCAAAGCTCAAATATACGATTTATTTTATTTGCTATGTTTAATCAAGCCTTAAGTTTTTGGAAAAGCTTTCAATGTTTAGTTTATTAATTAGTGGACAACGCTCTATCTAACATTCATTGGAGCACATTTGCTTGCATTTCGAACCAAGGTGCAACAACGGCGTTTGCAACGCTTGGACAATGTCGGAAAATGTTACGTGTTTCGGCCTGACGCTTAAGTTATTAATTTGTTGCTGCTGACGAGCGAGTGAGTGAATTGTTGTTGGTACTGCGGTGTTTTATGGGTCCATTGTTATGGCAGCATTTAGATCATTATACATTTTATGGGCTCCACAGGCTTATTATTGTTTCTTTACATTAGTTTTTCTACTCTTTTCGTTTCTTTTCTTTTTTTTTGTTGTTGGGGACTGTAGTGTCGCCAGGCTGCAAGGAAGTGCTTATAATTAGTATGTTTAATACTGATAACACAGCACGATGAGACCCAACATTCAGTTTAAAGTTGTTTTAGCTTCTTTCCGTTGGCAATTGTCGTATGCGAGAAAATCGATCGGACCTCTGAGCCGGGCAGGGCAAGGCAGGGCAGGGCAGCGCCCGATTTCTTGGCTGTCTGCCCGTGCACTGCCCAGGTTAGCCCAACGTGACAACAATGGACAATCGATCCACTTTGGGAATAAAACTTTCAATTTTTATTGCTTTCTTGCAGCGCAGCGTGTTGGCATGCAAAGAAAGGCCAAAAAGGCGGCATCCAGATAGCAATTGGAAATGCAGTTGCATCTGCCAGATAGAAATCTGGATGTGCAACTAATTTCACGCGCGCGGAAGTTGGTGTCGCTTCTTGTTGTAAGTGTTGCATATTTTTTATGTATGTTTTAATAATGTTTTCGGCTGGAAAGTTAAGATGCAGCCACAGCAACAGCAACAGCAGCAGCCACAGACGCTGCCACTGCCGCATTTAAATAGGAAAAATTATAAAAATTGGTACAATTTGCTGTCCATTACGGCAGCTGATTATGCTAATTGTTTGCTTGCATACTTGAGTTTTACGTAAACTCATTTTAGCGGTGTGGCAACAGGCTAAACAGGCAATGCGAACAACGCTCCCAAATTACCTACCTGAAGTAGGTGAAAGTTGACAAGCTAAACAAAAATTAAACATTGTTAACAAAGGAGGATCAGAGAGGATCTTTAGGTGCTCATCAATCTATACAATAAGGGGCTTTTCGCTTGCAAATTGATTGAACAGATTGAATGCAAGATATATCTAGAAAAGACCAATTTAGTTGTCGCAGAAACTTAACAAGCTATCAGCTACAAAAAATGCTGTCAAAAATTTTAAAAACTATCAAGTTAATATAATCCCTATGAGCTAAAGTGTCTACAAATATATCTATCTAAACACCTCATTTCATTAAATATTGGAAAATATAAGAAACTTTGGCAGAAATAATGACCATATTTTATTTCTGCCATATTTTATGACTGCTTAATAATCACAATGTAGTTCAGACACATCCAAATACAGCCACAAAAATATTATCGAACTGTAAAACGGTCACATTTAAGTAACGGCTCACTAAATACGGTCATATGCCTACATATACAGGCACATTAAAGAGCGTGCATTCCGAAGTATGGGCACATTTAAAAGCCACTCTAGAAAAAAACGGTTAAGCCTAAAAACAATCTGACGACCATTTGGCCATATTTAAATACAGCCAAAAGAAAAGCAACGGCTCACAAAACACGGACATATGCATACAACTACAGCCACATTGAAAAGCGAACCTTGTGAACTATGGTCACATTTAAGAGCGCCACTATAAAAAACGGGCACACTCAAATGCACTTACACTGCAGACGAAAACTCTGCCTATAACGCATGCTTAACGTTGATTTGTACGTTAATTGCATTTCGTTGCTGCTTTCGGCATTTTTTATTTCCTGTTGTATTTTTTATATCATGGCAGCAGTTTTGCGTGATTATTCGCAAGTTGTTATTTAAATGTGAATTTTGTATTTTTTGTGTAATGTATATTTGAAAATCTCTGGTATTTAACACCAAAGCAATGCAAATAAAATATGCCAGCTCAAATGCCTAAATTACGATACCCTTGTAGAGGGTATTATCATTTTTTACCGAAGAAGGAGGCATGTCCTACTCCATAAAGTGTATATGTGCTTGATCAGTACAAATTTATGGGCGGCACATGTGACAGAGTCGGCCGAATTGGATCATTATATCATATAGCTGCCATAGGAACGCTTGGATCAAAGTTAAGTTCTTGTATGAATACATTTTTCATAGTACAAGATCTCTTGTCCAAACTTGGCCCTTATTAAAATAGTACATCATATATTAAGAAACAGATTTATGTGAAGAATCGCTGGAAAGATTCGGTTTTGTATGTACATTTCTTTTGATTCGATGATTTACCATTAACTAGTTTTAGTATGCTCCTAGAATATTTGCAAAAACGTATTAAATCAGCTGACTATATTGTGTGTGGCACCTGAAGAAATAATTTGCTTCAAGGGTATATAACATTCGGCGTGCCAAAGCAAGTCGTTCTTGCTTGTTTTCAATTGATATCATTATGTGCTTAGCTTTATTGGTTGTATGCATGATTTCCGGGTGATCGTTGCAAATTGCATAAGATACTCGCACTTTCCGCTGGATATTCCGCATTTAACATGTGTTAAATATGCTCGCAATATACCTGCCACATGCAGCACTTCAAAGCACAGTTGCAGCATGTTGCATGCTTTTAGGCAGCTAATTTAAATGCAATCAAAGGCAGCAAAGTGGTCGACTGAGACATAGCCACTGGTCAATTGTATATTTGTTTTCTTGGGATTACACATACACATAGAATTTATGAAGGAGTTCTGGAAATGGAACTGGCAAAATGTTGTATGAGCAAAATTTTGCCACGGGCCTGAAAATGTGTGCATGTGCCAGTTTTTATACTGTATGCATATATTAAAAAGGGTTTGTCTGTTTGTATTAAGCCAAATTGCCTTCTCTTAAGATACTAAAGGTTTTTTCGTAAATGCAGCATTTTTAAATGGAAAATGCAGGTCAAAGGTTCATAATGTTGTTTTTTTCGACTTCAAGCTTCACACTACGTTACTAAACTGTGTGGAAAATGTTGATTCCAACTCTAAGTTTCTTATTCGATGGATTTCAATGCTAGCTTTATTATATCTTTGCTACAAATAGCATGAGATATACTGATAAATATTAATTTTAACGACGGGCAGGAAATGGGTGAGAAAGTTATACCCAAAATAAAAGGCAAAAATCTTGCCACGGGCAAGGCCGGGATATACCCGCTAGCTTATATTTATTTCTGCAGCTCCACAAAATACCACTCACTCATTTCGTTTCGGGGAGTTACACAAACTGAAGCAGCTTTCATAAATTTCACATTTTTTTATTTGTGCAAAAATATATAAATTCCAAAGCACATTTTTTATAAACTAATTATTGCACATATTTAACACGATTTGTTGTTGTTAGCAAAACAAAAAACAAAAAAACAAAAAAAAAATGTTTTATCAAATGAGATTACAAAAATAAAACAACTGGCATGAGCGTGAAAATGATGTGTAAAACAACACGAGATGAATTCGAGTTTAATGAAAATTTGGGAAAGGGAACAAATGCACCTAAAAGTGATCCTTGGAGCCGTTGCTCTTGGTGGCTTTTCCAATCCTGATTCCCACAGTAGAATAAATACTAATGATATTTTCTTCTTTTTTTTTTGTCAGGCAACATTGAACAACAACAAACATAAATGAGAGCGATGGTAGCACATACGTACAATAATATTAACAATATCAGCGGTTGCAGCTGCTCTCAACCCTCCAGCAGCTGCGTCGTTTTGTACTCCACCGCCGAGCCCATTTCGGCGCCGAGCTTCTCCCGGACATATTCGCGTATCTGCTGCAGCTGCTGGTCGGCCGCATGCTCCGCCTTGGCCGCCCGCTTGCCCTGACGCTGCTGGCGTGACATCTTCAGCCCGTGGGCGTGATAGTTGTAGGGCGGTTGCGTGATGGCCATGGCCTCGGCGGGCTCATGAGATGGCTGGTAGTCGGCGGGTGTGGCTGCCACATCCGTGTGGCCACTCTCCGCCTGCTGCTGCTGGTGTTGTTGCTGATGCTGATGCTCCGCATAGGGCCGAATGGAGGGCAGGTCGTACATACTGGAGGCATAGTCGGCGGCGCCGCTGCTCTGTGAATTGAAGATGACCTTGGTGTGTGTGGGTCGCGGATTGTTCTCGGTAATGGGCAGCTCATGATCATGGCCAGCTGGCTCCACTTCCGGTGCTGTGGGCGGCTCCTGCTCTGGCACATAAATTGGCTGCTGTTGTTGCTGCTGCTGATGCTGCTGATGGTGTACTGCTTCTGACGGCTCAGCGTATTGTGCCTGCGGTGTCATGGCAATCAGATAGAGTTGTGGCTGGTAGCTGCTTTCGTACTGGGTCTGCTGCTGCGGCTGGGCATAGTAGAACTGCGGCTGCTGTTGCTGGTAGCCGGTGGGCGCATAATAGGCTTCAGCAGCTGGCTGCTCATATTGCGGTGCCTGGGACTGCTGGTGGCGACCTTTGTAGGTCTGATAGACGTCGTCAATGGGCGCGTACTGTATGGGCGGCGGCGTCGGGGCCACCTGATGGGCATAGGTGACATCCGGATGATAGTGCGCCTGCTCGTGCTGCTCGGGCGTATCATATGACTGTGGTGGAAGCTCCTCGCTTTGATGCTGTTTGCGCTGTTCGGCTTCTTGCAGTAGCTGCAGATATTGGGCGGCGCGTATTTCTAGATACTGTTGCAGCAGCGTTTGCAAGTGCGCCGCATACTTGGCCGGCCCGGGTATTCTAAGCACTATGACAGGTTCCTGGTAGCCAGCGACGTCACCGCCCGTCCCGCTGGACTCATGATGCGGTTGTGGCAAATCGATTTGCGGCTGCTCCGCATGCGCATGCTGTTCAGCCACCGGCTGTTGTGTCTCGTAACTGGTTTGTGGCTTCAGCTCGTACGAGTAGGAGGGTTCAATGGTCACGCTGGTCACCTGCTGATGCTGAATTGGTTGCTGTTGGGCCTGTGTCGTGCCCGGCTGCTCATAGTCAGCCGGCGAGTAGCCGGCATAGACATCGGGCGATTCCGTTGCGGGTATGTCATGCTGCGAGTACGGATAGAACATATACTTGGGCGGAGTATAGTCGTAGCCCTGATGCGCATAGCCATAGCTGTAAAGAGGCGGAACGTAAGTATTTTGCATGGCAGTAAGACAAGTCATAAGTACTGGCCCCCGTTTCAATTTTCCCTTTTGACATGACTTCTTGAAAGGTAATTTATTTACCGGTTTCCATTCTCTTTTCTCATAAACTTGGCACTCAGCTTGTAAATGTCAGGCCACGGAAATGGGAATACGAATTGAATCGCAGTTAATCATAAGCTGAATTGCATTCATTTCTATTTATAGATCAATATTATGACAAGAACTCTATTATTCCATTTTTTAATTATTGCTTTTGCTATTTTTTTCCAATTACATGTTAATTTTAAGTCAGCTATTTGCAAGGGAATGTAAAATGAAAGACTGTGTTCAATTAAACTAATCTGACTTCTATAAATGAAGGATAAATACGAAGGACAAGTGAGGGAAGTCGCTTAAACTTGAATAAGCATACATATGTTATTTTGGCATTTATCTAAAGATTTTGTGAAATAAATGTTCTTCGAATTCTTGGGAAGTCAGAGAATAAAAATATAGAAGAAAAGATTAAAGATATGTGTACATATAGATCCCTATCTATGTAAAGCAACATATGTAGCTTTAAGACCAAGACAACTAAAAATTGGAGATAAATAGATTTTGCTCTGTCTAACAGATCTCTGTCTAATCGAAATCAAAGAGTATGCGAAACATCATAAATCTGGCGTAGTTTTTCACACTATGACCATTTCTTTCGTACTAATAATAACCCGCGTGTTTTTCGGCCACAAAACAATTTGCCTAGTGCCAAACAGTAGCAAGTTTGGGTTCTTTGCAAACTGGTTCCAGGCGGCGCCACCTAGTTATGGATACATTAGAGAAGTCACTGACCCCAGCTCGCCATCGATGGTGCGCTTGTTGTTTTTGCCGCTGCCGCCGTCGTTGCTGCTGGTCGTATTCTCACGCTCCACCTTAATTTTGATCTTGTTGCCGTGTAGCTTAAACTGTTTGTCCAGCTCCTTGATGAACTCCAGATCATCGGCGGGCAAATTGCCAAAGCTGGCGGCCAGAGAAGGCGCCTTTGTCGTAGTCTTTTTGCTGGCGCTGGTGCTGGCGCTGGCAAATTTGGTGCGTGGTTTGCTGGGCTTCGTTGTGGCTGGGCTAGCGCCAGCTGAGGATGACGAGGTGATCGCTGTGGTGCTGGGCGTTTTAGTCGGTCGCTTCTTCAGTGTGGTCACCTTTTTGGGATAGCCACTGGCCGATGATTTTGTTGGCGCATCGGGCTGGCCCAAAGCGCTGGCCAAGCACAGCGCCGCGCAGAGCGTGCACTGCAATGGAAACAGAAGGATCCAAAAATGTTATGTTAAAAGATTTGATCAGTGCCCATGTATAGATGAATGTACGTTAGTGGTATCGCAAATATATATAGAGACGCGCTGATGCTTTGTTTGCTGGCACCTTTGTCTAAACTTTGGGCTCAAGGTGAGGCGCCAGCGCAGACAATCGAACGTTGCGGCGATTGCGCCAAAAGCTCTTTTGTTTTTGTGCTCTTGGCTATCGAATGGTCTCGATACAAAAACCCAAACAACCAAACAAAATCATTAAAAATCGAAACGACTCTTAAAGCACCAATAATAAAATCAAAATCAAACACTTTTACAGCTCACATAAACACACACACACACATGCACAGATGCATGTATATTTCACATTTGACATTTCGTCTATATCGATCGAATAAAGTAAATAAAGTGAATGTGCAGAAGCAGTCGGGCTGCAGTCTGGATGTTGTAATGTTGTTTTTCTATTGCATTTATGGTAGCAGTTCGTGTGGGGAAAACATTGTGTCCAACTCGCGTCCTAAGTCTTTTGTTTTGAAAATATGTATATGAAAATATGTATATAATTAGAAAAAAAACATGCCCGATTGCAACATTCGGTTAAGTTTGTATCCTCAGTCTTTTGATTTTGATATGATATATGCTTTTGGCTGATATAACTAATATTGTAAAGTTCATAGCTGATGATTTAAAAAGCATACATTAGTGAGTAAGCAGCTGATTATTAGAAAAATTTGGCCCAGTTGTAATATTTTGTCAGGTTCGTGTCCTCAGTCTTTTGATATGTATATGATATACATAGTCGGCATATATTATGATGCATACATTCGATTTATATAACTAATATTGTTAAGTTAACAGTTGGTAATTTAAAAACAATACATTTGGAGTAGGTAGCTGATGATTTGAAAAAACTCTGCTCAGTTGCAATCAAGTTCGTGTCCTCAGTCTTTTGTTTCGGCTTATATAACTAATTTGCTTAAGTGATTTTTGGCACTTTCTGTAAAGGAATGGAATCGATAGTTTTTGAATATACAAAAAAAAAAAGCTGAAACAAATTGCAAACATTTTTTAAGCGCCTTAGGTTTCCTCGGAGGATAATGCGATATTCAGCCCAGACTTGTTGTGTAAAATAATAACTTAAACTTTCGGTAAATTTTTATTCATTTATTTTTCTTAGCTATGAACTTTCCGCAGAGGTTTCCTCACTTCAAATTCCTTAAATACTTTTGATTTTGTGTTTTAGTTAGAGGTCGAACCAACATTAAGTTCCATGACTGTGTGTTTTAGTTTTTTCATCTCCAACACATTCCCAATATTTCAATTTGTTAACAAGCTTTTGCTTATTCTTGAAAACTGTTTCGGTCACCTGCTTTGTTCAATATTTCAACATTTTGCATGTGTTTAGTTGCGCGTTAACTATCTCACAGCCAGTCCGCTATAAGAGCAACATTTTTTAATTGCATTTTGTCACTCAATTACAGCGGCGATAAATCCGAAACTGGGACAGTGTGTCAAGTCAACTTAGACTCCAGACTCAACATATATAATTTAATAGCGCGCAGTGCGTTTTACTGCTCATTTTGCAATTGTTTTTACCGCAGTATGTGTGTGTGTGTCTGTGTGTGTGTTATTGCTGCTTTAATCAGGAAGACTATTTGGTAGACTTTCGTTCACCTGCTGCACGGTCGCACCTGCGACTCAAAAACAAAAATGCTCAAAAAACAAAATAAAAAAATTGCAGAAATAATTTCTGTCAAATGCTGGCACTTTGGTCGGGTGCATGTTTGTAGCTGGAGGGGGCGGTCGCTTGGTGCCGAGGAAGTCGACGAGTTTTGCTAACATGCGAATTTATGTGATCTTTGTTGTTATGTTACCCGCTTTATATAATGCGTCCAGCAGTTGTACCCAGTCCACCCTACCTACCCCTCTACCCGACACTTGCTGCCTGTCAGCCTGGCTAGCATTGATTTATTTTTGATGGCAAGCAGCAAAAAAAGCACACACACTTTGTGTAATAATTTAATTAAATTGCTGTTGTTGTCGTTGTTGTTGTTGCCTTTCACTTTGCAGAATGTGACAGCAAAATTGTCAAGCAGCTCAGGCAGAACATTGCGAAGCGCAAACACTACCACCCCGTCCACACTGCTGCCTCCCATGTCGCAAGCCCAATTAAATTGTGGCAGGTGCAAAAAATGTTGCAAAAATTTAAAAATTAATTTCCCGCATAACACATTTTAAATGCCCATTGCTAAGCAATGCGTGAGTCGTGACTCGTGAGCCACTTGCGGCACGTCACGCGTGCATCTCTACAAAAACCCGGGCAAAGAGAAAAATAAGAAATTATTGCTGCTGGCTCCACGCAACGCGTGCAAATTAGTTGTAGCTGCGTCATGTTGTTTGTTGTTGTTGTTTTTTTTTGCCGTTTGCTGTGGCTCAGTGAATGATGCAACAAAAAATGATAATAATAAAAATAAAATAGCAAGACAAAACCATAACAATAAAATGTAGATTCAACAATAACAAAGCCAAGATATTAAGTAGCCTCAAAAGACTTTGATGCTTGGTCCTGTGCTCCACCTCGCACAACCCTGCAGCTAACACAGCTGATATTATTTTATATAACAGCTTACTCACATAGGACATACCGCAGCACGTTGTAACCGCAGTGGCAAACGAGTTCTCAGTGCAACAAGCCGTCACGAAATGTCGCCGCATTTGCCTAAATACATTTTGCGGCTAAATCTGTTTGGCAATCCCATCCAGTTAGGAGATCTGCCTAATAAATCTCGATAGCCAGCTGGCCAATTAGCGTAAAGATATAGGCTGGACTGGAACTGGAACTGGAACTGGAACTAACTGATATATTGAGCTTTGTGACGTGTGGCGGACTTAAGTTTGTTTGTTGTTATTGTTGGTGTTTCTTGTTTGACGAGGCCAGAACCGCAGGCGCTTTAGCCAAAATTTACATGCAGAGACAAGGGCAAGGGCGGCCTAGCCAACGGGTAGACTCATCGCAGCTCGCGTTGAGTTGAGAGATCAGCGAAGCGATGCGATTAAAATCTTGTTTCTTTTGCCAGTTGCAAATTGAGCGGTTGTTGTTATGGCTGTTATACCCTTTAGCAACGAGGGTCTTATGATGCTGTCACGAGTCTTTAAGTATGGTCATGGTTCTTTGGAATATAAGACCGATTAAAATTATTGAACAAAAACTATCTTTATCTTTCTTGGCGAAAGGCTGCATCATATAGCTGGCCTGGAAGAAAAAAGATGACAAATGCAATTATACTTTGATGTATCAGAGTATACGTTTGCCATTTCAGATAGAGAAATCTTTTTTTTGTATCGTTTACAGTTCGCTTAAGTTTCAAAATTCAACTGAAATATGCAAAATGATTTGCCATAAGTCGGCTGTTACGCAGGCAGAAGAATTGTATGCACTTTTTTACATAGATGTTAAGTTGATATGAAAGTTGATATATGTACATATCTAATGGCAGAGCTTGGTGCAGTGTTATTTTTGTGGGGTCTGAAAACAAAAAGAAATTCAACAGGAAAATTATGTTTGTAGTGGGGCGTGTGGCATCAGCTTCAGGATCAGTGAACTGCTGTCAAAGACCGGCTAAGCTAAGCGCCACGAACTGGCCACACAAACACACACACACACACACACACACACACACACACACACACACACACACACACACACACACACACACACACACACACACACACACACACACACACACACACACACATACAGCTGCAAACTCCCACTGTGAGCACTTTCTATGACAGGCATTACGTGGCATTGCCATAGCTCCCCGCACCCCTTATTAAACAAAAGTGAAACACATCTTGCAGCTGGCCAAGCCGGCTGAGCGGCTCAGCGTCTCAGCGGCTGCAATGCAAATTAATTGAGCAGCCAACGGATGACGGCACAGGAGTAGTAGGAAGCATTTCTGGTGGGCGTCGTACACGCCTACAACAACACTTTGGAATTGCACAAATTGCAATTGCGTGCAACTTTTCGGTGGGCAGGCCACAAAATTGGCAATAAGAAAACTTCTGATTGGATGCATGAATATGTCTCAAGCTAGGCACTTGGATCTGCAACTAATTTGTGGCCATAAGATTAGTTTAAATAGTTGATAGGTCACAGCTAATGATGGGCTTGTTTGTCTAATTTGGGGCTTGCCAATGGCTGACATTGCCTAGGCGGCTCTTCCGCGTTGGGTTGGGCTAGATTATGTAAGTGCTGATGGGTTAGTGCTTCCTGCTCGTATAATACATACCAATATCAATACTAATCTCATTGTTCCCAAAGATGTTTTTGCTCGTATTTGCTGAAGGCGACGGGCCTCAGACAATGCACATTTAAATATTAATTTTCACACATACACGAACACTCGCTGAGACGAACGTGTATATCAGTACGTATCGTATGGATTGTATTTCTTTCTATTGAGTTGCTGCTTCACTTTAATAACTTTTTCGCACAGTTACATTTGCTAAATGCAACAACAAAAATAACAAAATTAATGCACACTTTCAAACAAAACAGAAAAAAAAGGAAAATTGTTTATAAACAAGATGCTGGAAAATTGTGGGAAACTTGATCGCTGATCGTGCCAACGCTCGACGGTCGTTGCGGCGTTCAAAAGTCGCGCGACTTACTGTGGCTGGCGCTGGCGGTGCGCTTGGTTTTTATGCCAACGACGACAGCCACAAAAGCAGCAGCAGCAGCAACAGCAACAGCAACAGCAACAGCAGCAGCAGCCACAGTCGCAGCGAGCAACGTCTTCGTTGCGGCAAGTCCAAGTCACTTGGCCAGTCAGTCAGCCAGCGGGAACGTGCGGAACGAGCAATGGACGAGTTCACAAGCAATGACACCTCACGTGTGTGTGTGTGAGTGTGTGTGTGTGTGTGTGTGTGCATGTCCGCGTGTGTGTCTGTGTGTATGCGTGGCTGAAGGTGTAGGTTGCCAGACGCTGCTGCAACAATAAACAAATGCAATGATTCAGGTAATTCAGATTCGTTTCAATGTTAAAATACTTGTTACACTATTTTTTTCCAAGTTCTTTGGTTACAAAAAGCCAACATATAGCAACATATACTATATTATTAGCATACGAAAAACTAAATCTTTGACTTGCTAGCACTTAACGCGACCAAAGCTATTCAGTTTTGGTTTACATAGAATTTGTGAATCTGTAATACTTGCTAGATACATATTTATTTGGTCGTATAGAAATATGTGAATTGCTGGGTGAATCGCAAAAGAATCTTTAATGCGCCGTGGTAAATGCATGTCCTTCACAGTAACGGGATCTAATAGGTATAAGACTTGCAGATTGGGACCCTTAATAAGCTCTTGTTTCGCTTTCATACAGGCGAACATATTTTCATAGAAGGTGAAAAGAAGACTGAAGATGTGAATTCCTTAGGACGTACTTAAACGGACTAATGTAATATACTTTTTCGAAATCATAGTGTGCACTCCAATTTGAGGGCACTTAATAACTAATATAATACTTATTTTTCAACTAGGTAACGGCTAGAATTATAATAAATAAATAAATAGAGGTTCTAGTAACTAACTCCGTTCAGTAATATTTGTGTTTTGAAAACAGGAGTAAGCAGTTAAACTATCCATTTCTTTGTCGGTCTATTCAAAAAAATTATACAAAATAAGGAGTATAAAACTGATTGGCTTCTTACAGGATTATTTCGTAATGATTGGGGCACATCAATATTTTCTAGTGAAGTTTACTTATTTTCTGATACTGGCTTTGAGATAGCGTATGGTTAGGTCCAAAATATATATAAAATAAACAATATTTTTAAATAAATCAATGAAACTAAAACTTAATTTGATGATATTGGCATCCGATGGTAACGAATTCTGAGGAGGCATAAAATAACACTACAATAACACAATTGGAATTAAATGAGTGACCTTGCCTATTGTTGATATTGATTTGATTCCTTTCATTTTACGAAATTTCTTTTTAAGAAGAAAAAACACCTTTGTTTGCTCAGTTCAAGTTCAAAGTCATAAAAAACTGGCGCAACGCTTGGTGTGGCGCACAAGTCACACAGAGCTGCACGAGATTCAATCTGGGATACCTTTCATTTTAGATGAATACATGTTATGCTTATTATTATGGCCATTACGATCTCCATAGCTTGCACAAAGCCAGCCCAGCGACTAGTCACAAAGCCCGAACCAATCGAAACGGAATTTGCATAAAAACAATTGTAGTGCCAACGCGATCTTCACGCGCGACTCCGCAAGTGGTGGCAATTTAATTGGCGCATTAAGATATCTGGGATCGGATTTTGGGATTTTTCAGATTTTAAGATTTTGATATTTTGGCCATTTGGATTTGGGTTGGCGCCTGGGCTTGTGTGAAAAAAGAAATGGCATAACAAAGGCGGCTAAATGCAAACGGTCAACTGTTTTCGTCAGTTTTGTAATCCGAAAACATCGCCAGCTACAAGAGCTTGGTGCGATAACGATAATGGCAATAAAATATATGAGAAGGGCAGAGAGAAAGAGAAAATATAAAATAAATTTAAAAGAAATACGAATATCACGCGCCCCGTCGCAATCAACAATCGGCAATCGGTTGCATTGTTTGAAAGTTTGTTTTAGTTATTTGGGCTTGTCTGTTTTTATTTATTTATTTACAAATTCGCTTTGATCGCATCGACAGGCGAATAAACAGCAATTGAGATGTTGACCGGCCAGTGGGCAGCCCTGTTGCCCAATGCCGTTCACCCCACTCACATGCCCGCCCTGACTGAGTACCAAGCGGCCAAGTCATCATTTCGGTCCACAGCTGCAACAATGTCAATCGGTCAGCTACTATTAGACGTCACTGCTATTATTATTATTATTTATAATGCTTTTACATATATGCTGCAGATGCGTAAAGTCGTTGGTTCCATATAATATGAAATATCATAATAATAAGCAATGATAATGCAGCTTACTCGCCCATTTGCAGAAGGTTAACGTGGGCTTTGTCCATGCCGCTTATAATGCTTGTCAGCAGCTGAAGGAAGTCACATTCGAAACACCGACCAGTCAATACACTACACCTCATTAATGTGAAGCGTACAATATGTAGTTTTCTTATAAGTTTTCCCAAAAGTGGATCATACAAATAACTCTAGTTTATTTATAGCAAGTGTCCTAACTGATGCCATTGCACATGTGCCCAATCGATAGAGTTAAGTGAATAAATAACACAAAATAGCATTGTCAGAAAAAAAAGGAAAAAATATATTTTTATTGTACAACGACAACAATCGGCCTGCATTCGATTCGTTTCGAAGGTGAGTTCCCTTTTATGCTTACGTGCATGCATTTAAATACTATGGAGCATCTGGAGCGAGCCCTTGGGCCTCACAAGGTCAAAAATTTAATCGGCATCGGTGGATTTAGCAATTGTTAATTTTTCCGGGGGCGTATGCATATTTGTCTGCAAACCTTGTTATGATTAAGTCAGCTGCTAAATAAACTGAGCTTTTATATGTTAGATCTTTTAAAACAAGAAGTTAACTTGTGGTCGGGTACGTATTACACCTATCATCAAAGCATGTAAGCCTGCAAAACCTGCTTAAACTTATGAGAATCGCATAGTAGGGCGACATTATAAACAATGGTGTTGCATTTAATTTGCTAAACAGCGGAGGAAGTTATAAAAAACTAAAATACACTAGGCCTGCGTTTGGGCTAACAGAACATAAGCTTATCCACATGCACATATGTGTGTATGTGTATGCAAATGTGAATGCAATGTGAATATATGTGTTTTTTGCGCATGAAAAAGTGCATGTGATTATCATACACACAAAAAATTAGCAAGCCGCATACGTTTGGTATAAGAGATTCTATATAGCTAGTTTTACTCGGCCTTGCTCGGGCCATATTTGACAAAAAGCATCGATAATCGAAGTGCGATTCAAAAGATAACTTAATTAAACTTCTGGTATTTTAGTGTACATAAAATATGCGGACCAAGTCAATGTTTGAAGAAAAAGCGGATTCGTATATCCTAAATGTGAATAAAAACAATTGCGAACAATTAAATTAGCAAACGAGCACTACTTACTCAACATTATTAGAGTGAAACATGTAAATTGGAATCTAATTAAAGTGGTTAATTTCACTAAATGCCGAACAATTTGTAAAATAATTAATTCAATTAGCTGTAAATGAGTTAGGTTTTGAAAAGATAATGGGACAGTTGCGCTACAAAACCCGTTTGCTTAGCACTCCTTTTCGGCTAGCTCAAACTGGGCAAGCTATATGGTAGTTAAAGCATTTTTTATACTTTACTTATATATGAAAGCATGGCAGCCAACCAGACCTACTTGAAATCATGAGAATCGCATAGGAGGGCAATAGTAAAAATAATATCAAATAAATAAATAACAAAATAGTTTAATTAATAAAAAACATGATAGACTCATGCAACACTTTTTCGTGGGTTAGCCGACCTAGGGATTGGATTTTTAAAAACCCTTGAATTATTTTGTTTGTAGAGATATAAAATTATTTTTTGATACTGATTGGCCAATCAATCAGTCAGTGAGTTGGTTGGGCAGTCAATCAATCAGTCTGTGAGGTTAAAAAGTTAATTAAATTTGGATATACATGGGCTTGTTTGGCCTCTTTTGAGGCATGTAGTTATCGATAAACATATCGATAAGTTCAGTGTTGGATAAGAAGGAAGTGCGAGCAATACAAACAGTCTAGTTGACAGCCTACTTATTATAATCATGGTCTTTAGCCAACGTTAGCTGAAGATGAGCGGAAACTGGGCAGTTTGAACATCCTCTTTTTCACATACGACTGTTTGGAATTAATTGATGGCAAGCAAACCACAGCAGACAATGCAACAATTCGGCTCAGAGCTAACATTGTGGCAACTTCATTAACAGCCAAAATACGACCTCTTGATGCCACAGTTTGTTGTTGCTGCAGTTGCTGCTGCTGCTGCTTCAGTCGGCAGTCGGCAGCGACTGTGCAACACTTCCTACTTGCATAAATTGTACAGTGTCGGACTTTCGAATATACAATCCGATACAACAAACACACTGCCACACAAATCATAATTTTGCAGCATCGCTGCGCGAAGATGCGACGCGACGTCGACTGCTACGGCGACTGCGACTTGGGTGCAGCTATGCCATTTGGCAGGTTTGCTTTGGCGTCTGTTGATGCGGCCGGTGTAATTGTTTGTTATTGGTAGCTCGTCGGTTTATGGACGCGATTACATCAGCAGCGGGCGCATAGACTAAAGCGCTAAAGTCACATCTTCCATACGGATTGTCGCTAGATTCGATTGGCTTTGCTTCGCTTTAAATGGCCTGGACATGGGACATGGCTTGTTATGTGAGCACGGCGCAAACAACCACACTCGCTCTTCGGGATAAGTTGTGACATATGAGTGAGTGTTAGACATATATACATACATTTGTCATTAAATATGTACACATGAATAATAAGCATTCGCATATATACTAACTATCCTGAGACTTGGTTAATAGAAATTGAGAATGTAATCTTCGATTTTAAACAAATTTACCACAATTTGTTAACCCTGTGCAATAATAAATAATATATAATTTATAAAACATAACATAATAAAAATATGAAATAAATAAATATTGAATAATATTTAAAATATAATTAATAAGAAATAATCAAGAGGGCTGGCTTAAATGAGTGTAGAGATTCTAGCAAGCAATATTTAAGAGCATTTGACCTGTAAGCCAAATACTCGTTTTATACTCTTGCATAGGGTATTATAGTTTTATCATGAATCATTTAAGCTCAGCAATTACGAGCTTTATTATAATCCCAACTTGATGATTGCAAGGGCATTTAATATTCGATGTGCGCAATAAGGTTCAACTTTCTTTATAACACTAAGTCACTTTCGCCATAAGAATGAACAGTAATACTTAAATATTTGTTCAAAATAAAGATTATTGATTTTAAAATAAATTGTTTAATCTCTATATTTAAAACTGATCGACTGACTGATTGGTAATCAATCACAGCCCAGAAGGTTAGAGCTAAGAAGCTGAAATTTGCACTCTAGTTGCATAATGTGATGAAGGTGCACGTTATGACGGGGTCTCGAGAAATTCCACTCGCACGTGTGGAACAATTGCGGAAAAACCTATTTTTCCTTTCTACATCCAAGCTTCCTCGATGGAAAATGCGATTCAAAGATTTTTTGGGCTAAGTTTTGTCCGATTTGCATAAAACTACTTTTTAAAGCTCTACATAAGAACTTAATGAATACGTTCTTCAGCGATTTGGGATATTTCATTAACAACAGTAGTTGATAAACGAAGAACGGTTGTATGAAACTTTTTTGCTTACCATCCGATCGGCTTCAAACAAATTTTCAAAGATCTTTGTCAAAATTCATCTGATGGGTGTTTCGCAGATTTTGGAAAATCCATTCCTCCTTGGTGGAAATCGGGTGCAAAGATTTAGTGGGAGTCGTTTCGTGTTCAAATTTTTTCCAAGGTACTATATAAAAAATCATTTGAGACGTGCTCGCAGAATTCAAGATTCCTCGGTAGAAACACATATGTACAATTGCACATACATACATACATACATACATACATACATACATACACATACATACATACACACATACATACATACATACATACATACATACATACATACATACATACACACATACATACATACATACAGGCATACATACATACATACATGCATACATACATACATACATACATACATACATACATACATACATACATACATACAAAGAAAGCAACAAACAAAGCAACAAAAAATACCAAAAAAAAAACTACACTACCAGCTTAACAAGAAAAACTGCAGAACCTTCTTGAATTCTTGAGAATCGAGGAGGAGAGCACGTGGTAGAAATTCGTTTTATTTAAATTTTCAGCACAGCGACAAATAAGCTTGGTCTGCGTTTGGTATTTGAAAACACACATACATATGTACATATATACATAAATGCGTGCATACACTAACACACACACGCCCACACACATACATACACACTCACACATATGCATTATAAATATGCCTTAGAACAAAATACTTGCGAATTCATAAACATTCAGAATTGTGCAGTATTTGACTTAATTTTATGGCTTCTTAAATATAAATGTTGAGAAGCACGAGTAAAGAATTTCAATCAATTGGTGTACATCTATTCGCACGTGTTTTGCAATATGTGTTAGTCTTGGGAATTGTTATGAATAAATATTTGTTATGTACTGTCCATAAAGCCAAGCACTTCTGTCTATTTATTTGGTAACAAATAATAATAGAATTAAATTTAAAAATCTACAAATTGATTTTAATAAAATAAATATATTATAACAATAAAAAAAAAAAAAATATATATATATATATACATATGTATGTACAATACAAATACATAAATGCAAAGTGGGTAAAAATGCAATCGCTAAGTACAAACTAAATCCATTTGCCCAATTTGGCTGTCTAACGAAGCTTCAGCTGCTTGTCCAGGGACTTCTTGACGATCCTGCTGCGTTCGGACGATCTTTCCAGCTTGGAGTCGCGCTTAAAGACTCTCAGACTGGGCACAGCATAGGCCAAGGTGTGGCGCTGGAAAGGACGGGACGACTGCTGTTGCTGGTACAGTCGCAGCACCTCCCAGCTGGGTATATACGAGTCCAGAAGCGATTTTGAGTCACGTCCGGCGAACAGATCCGGCGTCAGGTCCGGTTGCGAGGGCCGGAAGGGCTTCGAATGACTGGCGGAGCGTCCGGACGCTGGACTTCTTGTCGTAATGCTGACAAAGCTGGGCGGATAGGGCAGTGGTATGCGGGAAGCGGGCGCATAGTTGCGTTGTGGCATCGGCGCATAGGCAAACTGCTTGGACTGCTGCAGCAGAAGAGGCAGTGTCGCTGGACTGGGATGCGGACTGAGACCGGGTCGCAGCGATGGCGGCTGCTGCTGCAGAAAGGCGTAGGGTGGTCGTAGTGGGCGTACTACAGGTCTGGGTATGGGGCGTGGCAGCTGAGCTGCACCACCAGACAGCGCGTTACCACTCAAATATTGCACGCCATTCAGTTGCAGCTGCAAGTCCAGATCAAAGGGCACAATGGGTTGAAGCAGTCGTGTTCGCGTTTGCGTTGTTGCTGTTGTGGGAGTCGATGACGGCGTGGGTGAGCTGAGACGGGCAGAGATAAAGGAAGAGAGAGTGCAAGAGAGAGAGAGAGAGCGAAAGAGGTATAGAGAAAGTGAGAGAGCGTTTAATGGAGAAAATGTGAGACGTGACCTAACGAGCTGCTTTTATCTAATCTTTGCTATTTATTATGGCAATCGTTGCTGCCATTTGTCGGAAGCCAACGGCGGCAACAGTCGTGAGTGAAACCGGCCGTTTCAACACCCACCCAAACGCCAACAGTTGTCTATCAGTAACAGAAATTAGTCTGGCATTAGATTCGGTCTAATACCGGGATTTGCCCAAATGTATCTCTAAGGGAATTCGATTAACCCAGTAATTTTCATTCATTTTCAACAAAATGGCCAATTCAATTGACAAATGCATGTCCCTTAGTAATTTTCATGCCAACAATAGTAATCCATTGGCCACTCGTGTTGCTCGTTTCCTTCTTAAAGATTATCAAGTGTTGTTAAAGATGCCTGCGGAACTCAATGAATTACATGGCCTATAGTATTGAAGGTCCTTCCTAATTAAAGGCTCTTAAATACTGATTTAAGTTATTCAGATTTACCTAAATTGTTTTTGGAACATTTCTGAATAATCTTTAGATTACTTAGATTTTGTTGGAACATTACTGGTTACCATTCAGAAAACCTGAAATTTTCCTTTAGTTACAAAATCAAAAATGATTGATTTTCAACATTCATTTTTAGACACATGTCGCAGACTATTAAAGCTATCCAAAAAGTATAGTCCTTATAATATATTTAATAATATTTAATGGCCCAAATACAAAATGTTGTAAATTTCATATAGTCTTTACTTAAAAATCAATGTCTCAAAATCGATATTTATTGATATATTTGTAAATGTCTGAAGATATCGAAAAATTATAGACCTAGACCTTATAGTTTCTGCGATCGACCTTTTACAAACAGGTCCTGATCCAAAATACATACTTGACTGTGTTGGAGATACTTCCCTCTGTTGATTACATACAATGCATAAAACTACAAATATAAAACTCTATACACGGATATTTAATCTATGTCTAAAGTCAACGAAAAAATTCTGTTCAGATGGACAGACAGACGATAAGCAAGAGCTAGGGGAAACAAAACGGACATTGACTACGACTTTTATACTTTTTTCACTTTGTGAGCGAGTATAATAATAGTCGGGTATTTGCGAAATGCTTGTTGGCCTTTGAAAACATTTGAATCTAGGCTGCAAACTACTTTTGGAAAGAACCGTTTCGGGTCCGTTATTCTAAATTTTTTATTTCTTTAAACGAAACCTTAAACCAACCCAAACATTGGATTTGTCTAGCCATATTTTGTAGATGCTAAATTTGGATTGAAATCAAATCTAGCCCGCAACTTCTGTGTGAAAATAACTGAAGCTTTCAATATTTTCAGTAGAACGGGCAAATATGATTTTGAAAATATAGTTTCATTAAAATTTGGAAAATACAAATCGAGTTCAGGAATTGAAGGCAAAGGCAGGGAGTACCCCCCTGCACCGAACTTTTTTATGGGCTTGCAGCTCAATTCGAATGTATCCAAATGTCTACAAATAAAACCGTTAAATAAGCTGCAAGCTCTTAAAAAGTAAAAGCTACAAAAGCTTCGAACTGTTGAAGTCTAAGATAAAATGGCTGAAGCTTGCTAAGGTTTGTGTTTGCACCTGAGGTCAAGCTTTGGTGAAAGCTCCAAGTTCGACTATGTTGCATACTTACAGATTGCCATCGTGTAAAAGCAGTAGGCCATCCGGCAGCTGGCCGGGCAACGCGTAGCCAGCGCTCAGCTGCTGATGCTGCTGGTGCAGTTGGCGTAAACGCTCCGCTTGCTCCAGCTGGGCGGCATCGTGCACGTAGCTAGGCGGCACGCTGGCGGCTATGCTTGGATGCCACTCGTAATGTGTGGGCAGCAACGGCGGACGGTTGAGGTCGAAATGTTGCTCCTGTTCCCGCTCCAGATCCTCGAGACTTAGTTGAAGCGGCGTATTGTCATCGTCATAGCCGTTTGGCGGCGTCAACGCTGCTCTAGTCGCTGGCAGCGCTGCCAGCAGAACCCAGAGCAGAGGAAGTTGCTGCTGCAAAAGGAGACGGATGGAGATGTTTAGAAGGGGATTCACCCAGAGGCGATGGCGCGATACTGGTCTAAGCTATTTGCAGTTGAATTTTATGTGTTGGCGGTGAAAGGTTTACGCTTAACTTGCTGACTTTCGCCAAATGTGGTCGCTGCCACGCCCACCTGCGTCCAGTGATGCATTTAATTGAGTTTTGATTTAGCTGAAAATGCTTTGCTTGACAAGAAACAATAATCAATAGTTTAAATATATAACTCGCGGTCAGCCATGCTTGGCGCCGCTCCCCGAACAGAGCAGAGCAGAGCAAATGCCCAGCTAGTGGGTGGCTGACCAGCTGCCAAACGGCACAAGGCCACGACTGATAAGCTGCACCTTTCTAAAAATGTTGGCCAAAACTAACGGCCATTTGTCACGGCAAACACACACGCAACAATTCGAAGCTGCCGCGATTGCAACATTTCTGCAGCATTCAAGAGTCAACATGCGGCGGGCTCAAATTGAAGCGAAAACTGCACTCGTCTCGCCGTCTAAAAATTGCATTTTGTGCAATGCCCAATGATGCCACATTCAAAAAATTGGTAAAAAAAAAATATAAATCTATAAAACTTGAAAAAACTAGTTGCAATTTTTGGCCAGACTGTTGTACAGCATTCACAGCGCCAGTTGCCAACGTAACCATCATCATCATCATCATCATAGATGCGTGCGCCAGTTTGACGCTGCTCTCTAATTATTTTGGCCACGGCACCTGGTAATGATCGGCCAGGTCACATGCTTGCGCTCGGATGCAAATGCAGCTTGATTAATGACATGCTAGCTAATGGTACTGATGGACTGCCAATTGCCGTCGTTAAGGTGCGTAATTTGCGCGCTATTGTTTTGCCCCTGGCTAAAAACAAAAGACTTAAGACACAAGCTCGCTCATAGAAAGAACCGCACTGTTAGGGCCATGCCAATTAATCATGTGACTGTGTCATTCACAAATGTCAGCTGGCTACTGGGCGGTCTAAGAACACGTGATTGCACTAATGCAGTAGCTCTTAACGCAGGGGAAGGGGCGATCGGACAAAAATAAGCTTTAGGAAAACAAGCTAACTGGAGTTTATTTTTTGCAGGGCTTTTCAAAGGAGGGCAAAGGAGGGTCAAATTACATATTTTTGATTGATTCCGTGCTTAAAATGCGGGCTTGGTTTCTGCTTCACTTTCTGACACTTGTGTCTACCTTTAAGTATAAAAAGGTTCTACACAGGCTCTACCTCTCTTGGGGCTAGACGCCATGAGCTTAAACATTGACGCCCCCCCTCGCCTAGAATTCCTCGTTGACCCTTCATTTATTGGGCAGCTTTTGGGCGCAGTTAGCCGCACCAAAAGGATTGAGATCACAAGACTTTTATTAGAAATGATTCTTGCCTTGCAAATATTTATAATTTTCGAAATGGCATAGTTTTCTATCTGATGAGTTAATTGTTCTATATTAGGGGCTATTTGTAGTTTGATATGCTATGTATCTGTTTTTCAATTGGATTTAGTAAATTGTCATTATGTTTTATCCAATACGTCCCCTCGGATTAAAGAGGGCAACTGTTCTTTACGCACCATTTCTTCACTTTGCGCACGTTAAGGTACTTGATTTAGCCAAATCGTTGAACTTATTGTGATAGAATGTTTTTAACAAACTTCGGCGTTCACTTTGTAAATATTTTAAGGCGGATGTTTCTTAACAACCGAAATTAAATTTCTGGTGCACAATCAAAATTCACAAAGTGACCACAAAAAAACAACAACAAAAATGTGGCAAAACTTGGCCAAGCTTATACGAAACCGAAGCCCAGCAACGAAGCAATTGCGACTGCGACTGCGACAGAGCGAAGCGCTAACGGTGCGTTTTATACCAAGAGGCAGCTTGGCTAACACAGAAACAGCCGTGCAGTTCTGCAGGCCACCAGCCACAAGCCCAACAGTGGACGCATTGTTGCCAGTTGGCCAAGAGCGTGAGAGGTAAAGAGTGAGAGAGAGAGAGAGAGAGCGATCTATACATTTTTGAGATACGCTTTCTGGCATTGCAGATGAGAGTCGCGACGGCGTTGAAGGATTGCAATTGAAACTGAGACAAGCCCCGAAACGCGAAACAAAAGCAGCTAAAAGCGCCAAGTGCGCGCAATTAATTGAAATGGAAAGTGCGGGTAAGCAGCCAAAGCTTGGAAATTAAAAATTGAAATCATTTTAAATTCAAATACCGCCCGAAAAAAAAAAACAACAATATGCAAAGTCAAGCCATCAAAGCTAATTTACGCATTTACGAGTGTTATAACAGCTACAGTAACATGCAAAGCAGCCACGGGCGGCACTCACACGCCCCCCTCATTATCTATCCCTCCGCGACATGGCAAGCAGAGCAGCTCGAACATGACCATTAATTGAACTATATTCAAGTGTATTTATATGGATTTGTATTTGTTGCTGTGCTTGACCAACACTTAACCGTTCACTTCCGCCCCAGAAGAGCAGACGCAGCACTCGTCGATCAAGTGGGCCCAATCAGTTCCATCCATATGCTGGCTACAGCACAAAATATTCATTATGATGGACCCACAAGACGTACGGCACAGCGCTGGGCACGCCGTAGGGCGTCGTCATCGCCATTAGAGCTCGAAAGTGAATTGTGGCAATATATGTACATCGATGTGGCATGTAATGCTTACATATTTTGGGCCACACTTAATATCACTTTGGGTATACCACAAGCCGTTGTCAGCTCTGTGTTTCAACTATGTCGACCCTGTGAAAAATGCATCAGCTGAGATAAAAGATAAAAACATCCAACTCAAAAATATGGTTACAAATATGATAAAACTGTACAAATTAAAGAGAATAAGAAAGTGTCCTCCTTCTAGGTTTTGAGTTTCTACAGTTTTCGTAAATAAGTAGAAGAAATTCAAAGTTTGAATCCGGTTGTTGTGTTAATATTAACAGGAGAAATCCATATCTAATTTTAAATTATTCCAAAGCTATAACAAAATAATAATAATTCCAAAGAATAATAGTAATTGGAATAATATTAACCCAAAATCAGTTCAATTGTATTAATATATATAACAGATATTATTTGAAGATAGGGTATTTAAGGCTTCCCCATGAAACTTTTATTGCCTGTCGGCATTCGCTCCACATAATGCCGCAAGTGAAAGAAGGTCTTTCTTATTTTTTATCGATCAGCAGTAATGAAAGCCTCGGGCATGCTAAAGTCTCAAAATGAATTTGTCAAGACGCGACAATTAGACAGTTGACAGCAGGCAAGGGCCCGACTCCGTTAGGCCGGACAGACTGACGCAACTTCAAGGTTGACAACGTAATGGGCGCTGACACATGCGTGTGCACAAGTGCAAGTATTATCCATGTTAACAATTTTCACTGTTCCGGGGCGGGCGTGAAATTGTTGTTTACTTTCACTTAAAGCGACCTAGAGACAATGGCAATTCTTTCTGTTAGGCTGTTGGCTCAAGACGACCTTGCTTCAAGCCATGTTCGCTGGTTTGTTTGTTTATTTTGGGTCTTTCGAACAAGCTAGGGCTGTTGTAATACGCTCTGTAATATTTATAATGCTACATTTATGTATATTAGGGTTGGGAGGTGTAAATATTATTGTAAGATTGAATGGAGGTATGGGAAAGAAATATTACAACATTTCTTTTGCATTGTATGCGTGCGACAGAGCTTATTGTCAGCGTATTAGATCTCTGCCAAATCATATTGAATTTTAACTATATTCTTAATTCAGAATTAAAGTTCAAAATTGTAGTCTGCTGCAACTTCAACAGTTTAAGACTTTAAAACATTAAAATTATTTACGGGCTTCTTAGCCGAGCACTCTTGACCATAATTTTCTTCCTAGTATTATTTTACTTAAGAGCTTTATTCGGCTTATGATAATAACAATTGTGGAGCTTAAGAGCTAAGCATAACAACAAAATATGCAAAAAAAAAAATTATTAAAAAAAAACAAATGACTTAAGCAACAAACTTGGATTTACAATGAATGTTGGGATTGCAATCTATGGCCTGGCTCTAATATACAGTTGGGTATGCGGATGCGATGCTGTTCCCGAAACCGATGTATCGTGGCCACCCGCTGCCGCCGGCAGATACTCGTTGAGATTCAGGCTAAATGTGGGCGGAAAGTTTTTCTCCTTCGCCTCGCGATTGATGCGGTAGCTGCTGCGATAGGCGGCGACAGGAGAGACCGCATTGGCATAGCCCTGCAGACCGGCAGCAGAATAGTGTAGGCCGGTAACGCCCGTATTAGCGGGTAAGGCACTTAGCTGGACTCCGCGTGCGCCATAATCGGGTGTTGCAGCCACATTAGGTGTTAACGCGGGCGCCGGCGCCTGTACGCCGCCAGTGGCCGCTGTGGTCAAATATGGACTGATGGGCACAATGATGGGACGCGTTGGTATCAGCTGCAAATACTGGACGGTTCCACTGCCATCCTGAAGCGTCTGCGCCGGCAGATACTGCATCAGCATGGGTGTACTGGGTAGGCTGGCAATGCTGGTGCTCTCGCCAAGACCTCCACTTTGCATGGGCGTAAAGTTCGTCTCCATTTCAGGCATTTTATAGGAGGGCTTGAAGCCCGCTTCAGTCGGCGGCTGCACCTGTGCTTGAGCCGTGTCCAAGTTATCATAGCTCGAGGCAAATGCGCTCAGCGAGTTTAGGTGCGCTTCCTGGGCATTGGGATTGGACTTGAGTAGTTGCTGCTGCTGCTGTTGCTGTTGCTGCTGTTGCTGCTGTTGCGCCTGGATGCTGTTAGGCGACTTGTTCGATTTGTTGGCTATTTCTGGGCTTGATACTGGCGAGGCATGTAGCAATGGCAACACAAGCAGCTGGGCAGCCAGCAGCAGGCAATGGAAATATCCTTGGCACAGCATCTGAAATGTGGGATGGAGAGTAAAGCGGACGTAGCGACAAACTATAATTAATAATTGTTCATAATAGGGACATAACAGTCAAACTCTGTACAACAATTTACAATACGTAAAAAATTTTTTTAGAAAGCCACAATCGGGCGAAACCGATAGCGCAATATTCTTTACAGTGTTTCAAATCAGTTTAAACCAATCAATTAGAGACTTGTTGAAGAAACTTAAACACTTTGCTGCAACTAAATGCAAATGTCTAAGTAAAATATATATTCAAAAGGGTTTTGAACATTTTAAAACGCAAACTTGATAAATTCATGGTTATTTTTATGATACACAAACAAGTTGGTTTCAGGCTCCTCTGCAAAGATTTTGGGTTTATTTATTCCAGGCGTGTTTTATAAATTATGGAAAATCCAGCCTCCTAGGTGGCAAATGTGGAAGTGGGACTATTGAATGGGCCAAAATTTAGTTGCCCTTATACTCATTAAGAGATAATAAATACGTGTCTTAGCGCTTTTGTATAGTTCACGGGAAGTTGGCGGAAAGCTGTTCATCCGAATTTTTCGTTTTTTATTCGACTGACTTGAAGCTCTTGTAATATTTTAAATATTTGTAATATTGTACATAAACATTTGAAGTCTGTGTCGCTGGTTTTCCCACGGGCAGGACATGGTTGCATAGGTGATATCTAAAATTTGCTCGACAAAGGCCAGCCTTTAACTAAGTTGTGAGCCCTTCAATAGGGAATTATTATTAATATTTTGTATTATATTTTGTTTAAATAGATACTCCTCATTAATTGAGTTATTTCAAGTCTGTTGCAAGTCACACGCCCAGTGAGGGCTATGAGGTAGTTAAGTGGCTTGTTCTGTTGAGGGATTGTCTTGGTTAATTGCCATGTAGCACACATGTCAAAAACATAAGCACATAAATTGCTTAACAAAATTCCATGAATGGGCGGCAACAATCTTATTTAAAGTTCACTTTCACTAGCTGCGCGGTGTTGTTTCTTTTCATTTTTTTTTTAATTTGTAGTTTTATAACAATTATGCTTATACATAAGCGCAAATATTTGCTTAAAACAATAACAAAGTAAAGAAAATGGGAAGGAAAAAAAGAAAAAAAATAAAACACCAAAAGCTTCACCTCTGCTATGATTTAGAGTTTGCTTGTTTGCTTTGGGGGCGAACACGTTTTGCGCGCGTTTGTTTATAAATTGTTTTTAATTTGCTGCAGCTCTTGTTGGCAAAACACTTGCACTTTTTAGTGCAGCCTAAGACTGTCTAGCGACGCGGTTTGATTAACGTCAGTGACGCCAGCGGACCTGCTTATATACCAACCGACCAGGCGCAGCAGCCAGCGCCAGCGCCAGCCAGCGTCAGCCAGGCCGACCAACCGGCAGGAGAGCTGCAGCTGGGGACGCAGCAGACGTAGCTGCCAATTTTCCTCGATTGCCATTAAAAGCAGTTAAACTGTAGCATGCCACAAGTTGCAGCCAAAAGCTGTTAGCTACTTACAAGTGTTTATAAACAAAAAACTAAAAACAAAATAAGGAGCTTGCGTGTCTTCGGTGTTGCACATTCTGTGCACATTGTTGCATGTGCATCATCGTTAAGTTTAAGTCATGTTTCAAGTTCAAGTTTGACATAGTGTCTTTATAAAAAGCCTTTCAGAAATCATGAAATAACAGTCTAAGTATTCTGAAAATAACTCATATATAAAATATATATATATATACCATTTTATGGCAATCCTTTGGGATCACATGATTTCCGTTCCAGCTTTAGCTGCACTTAAAGCCGCGAACAGGGTATTTTATAGGCCAGTATTGCCGACTGCTGCATTCGGCTTACTTGGTTTTTGTTTCCGTCTTCCGAAACGCAACGAGAGGAGTGCACCAGCCCACAATTAGGCGCATGCAGCGGATGTTTTCCGCATTGCCTCATGGCCATGATACGCTCAAACGGGTTTCTCTGTGGCTGCACCGGTGCGCCGGTTAGCTAAAAGCTTAAAAAAAAAGATGCTTTTCCAATTTGGTTTTTTTGCTGCTTGTTCGATAGTAGGAAAACATTGCAAGGTCGTAAGAAAATTGTTCCACTAATGCCAGATAAAACCCCTGCTGCCTAACATAAATTCTGAGCTCTGTTTCAGGAAGCTACAATAAGTATCTACGATTGAAGTTTGGGGGAAATACCTCGTCCCCCTTTCGTAGCTTAAACTGGTTGCGAATTGTAATGCGTGAAGTAACGGTTTAGTGCACAGCGAACAAATCGTCTGTTTTCTATTTATAATCAGAAAAGTCTGCTCACATTTTTTTGATCTTTAAGCCTTGTTGGTTGTTAAATATAAATAAAATTAACAAGCATTGGCCTTTAGTCAGCCAGATAAAGATTGATAAACCTTAACATTTTATTCGTTATTTCCATAAATTTCCAATGCATGGGCTTAGGGCGCACAACAATTTTACAGGGGAACGCAGAATTAGGGGACTGCTGAATGTTTTTTTGCAATTTGTTAAGTTTGCTTGGCGTAGTTCTAATACAGGTTTTGGTGCATGGCAAATGTCATTGCGGCCTGACCCACTGTCAACTTTTAACTTATTTTGTCCAATTATTAATATCTTTTGGCTTGTGATTGTCTCAACTGGCAAAGCTCTGCTCGCTTTCCTTTATAGGCGGCGAGCTGACGCGCTGTAGATTCGACGGGCCGAAAGCCAAATGGCAAATATTTTGTTTAAAAGAACGTGAGACGTTTTTTTGCCAATTGGTACAGTCCAGACGTAGCCTGCTGGGGAAGGCGGTGGCCCATAGTGTGAACCAGAGCAGGCAGGCGCCAATCACGCTGGTGGTCACACCGAGCATCCAGTACTCGCAGGAAGCAAAGGTGCCGTCCTCCGTAACGAGCAGCCGTAGAATGCCGACGATGGCACAGTGGCACAGCGACTCAATGCGACACCACAGCTTGGTCAGCATCAGGTCCAGCGTGAAGCAGCACACGGCCATCTCCATGGTCAGGCGGCATAGGGACGAGCAATTGCGGCACCACTGCGGAAATATGTGCACCACCTGCAGCACGGCTCCAATACAGGCGACGAACAGCCAGCTACCTAGCAGGGGCGCCGGGGAGCACCGAGCCATTAGAAAGTAGTATGAGATGCCCATGACCGAGTGCAGCAATATGGCCATGCTCAGCGCTGATAACGAAAGTCGCTCCATGTCTGGATCGTGCAGTCTATGTAAAACTCTAATGCACCATTTGTTAACCAGAGTTGTGCACTCTGTTTGTACCTCTTTCTTACTTGCTCCCTCCAGCCTCCTGCTCACTCACTCTCCCTATTTTTCTCTGTCTGTGTGTTGAGTGTACCCCTCGGTTTGAATTTTGATTGAATTTACGGATCTATACATAATACTAGACACATGTAAAAAATCAGAAAATTCAAGTTTAACTGGCTTTAAAGTCAAGGCATTGTTTTTCCTCATTTCGTGCTGTAAACATGGCACCGTCCACTTTGATTAGTCGACTGTTTACTTTCATTTTTAACAACTGTGCAGCCAAGATCCACCTCTGTTGTTCGCTTAAAGCTCCAACTCGCTCCGGATCGGAGCTTTGATCGGACCCATTGCATACTTTGTGGTGTCGCAATGAAAAGCTTTTACAACGGTTTATGTGTGCTCTATGCTATTTATGGGAAAAGTTGACAACTTTAACATGCGGATCATCAATATTTACAAGTCAGTTAAATTACAAGCTGGAAACCCAAAACGTGACGAACGATACGCATGCAAAGTGTATTTTATTGAGATCTATAAAAACTTGATTGCCGTAATTAGAATTAACTTTACCGCCTATGACATAAGTCCATTTTGATTTCACCTGTTACAATAGCTGTCAGCAATAACTGCCTGCACCAGGTGGAAAGCAAGTAATGAATCCTATCTGGATACCGGGAAAGCGGTCGGTTAAATTAAATTTCTTTGCAGCAATATTAAGACTGCGTCTCACAATCGGTGCTCTGGTCCAACACAGCTGGCAAGTAATTCGTCAAGATGCTTTGTGCTCGTATCCACGTGCTTGCTATCTAGTTAACTATCCGTCTGTTTGCCTGCCAGACTGGTGCTGGAGTTGGCGCGAGGGCTGGGGCTGGCGGGGGAGTTGGCTTTAGCTCGTCGGTTTTCTTTTATGTCAACTGCATTTTTCGTTGCTGTTGCTTGTTGTGCGCTTTTTCACTGGCTTAAACCACTTAATGGCTTCTTTTTTTACTTTTTTTTCCCCTTCTGCTTAGACGCGGTCTGGGCGGCTCTCGGAAGCTCGAGTTGAAGGCGCTATTCACGCACAGTTTTCCTGCAGCTTCCTTTCACAAAGACTTGCAATTCATCAAATCTCGTTAGCCTCGGCTTTTATAGAATATCTGCAGATGCTTTTGCTATTATTTTCGGGTTTTTACTTCTTTGGCTTGCACTTCATTCAAGTGAAAGGGCGCCACGCCCAGTAACAGCTGTGGGGCGTGTCTATAGATGTCTATGGCTGTATACGGGATGCTGGTGCATCTGCCCAACGTGTCTCGACCGAATTTTAAAGCTAGAAGAGGGGATGGGGGCGTCATTTAAGGTATTCTCATCCTTCCTTGAAATGTGCAACTCTAGCTCCTCGAATGTGGCTGGCAACAGGCTGCACAGCAGCAGCAGCAGCAACTGAACTGACAGTTGAAATGCAGTTTAACAAATGGGCATCGTATTGCCGATATCAATTTGTGGGGATACAATAAACATATCCCTGCGGGGAGTCCTGTGTGATTGATGAATGCAAACAGCGAGCCAGACAACGCATTCATTGGCCAAATTTTGTGTGTCTTTGCAGCTATGAATAGATGTCGGATTTTGAGCATTCACCAAGACTGGCGCAGCCAGCTTAACTTATGTATACATTATTTAGCATGCTCTTCGAGGTTTTGATTTCAACATTCCCTAATCTACCTAAGAAAGTTGTCGAAAAGATGAGCTAGCAAATCTGCAACTAAGCCTGTCTTCGTATCGATCGTTTATCCATTTGTGTACATATATATCTATGCCAGCTATTTCCTTATTCCTTGGAGCACTTCGTTCACTAATTTCAGCTGCTAACAGATGGCCACTCATTTGGGTAAAAGGCAAACATTGCGCACCCAAAGTGCATTCAATTAACAATTTTTGGGCTGCTAGTGGTATAAAAAACTTTACCCCACTGCGTGCATGGCGTTTTGTGGCAGGCTTTTAATCAAAAACTTGAAACCAAGTGCCAGACAAGTTTTTGGCCAAGTTTGCCACAGCGCTAGCGAAACTTCTCAAATTGTGACGTCTACAAAAGTCAAATCGTGCTGCGCCGCTCACATGCTGGCAGCAATCAGTCCGACTTAAGCCAGGAAGATGTCGATTTTATTATCTTGATCAAACCGAACATACGATACTCTTGCGGAAGCACACAAAATTACAAATATCTAGGTTAATTTAACGTGTATAACATGAATATAAAATACTTTCGTACTATATTCATAAAACCATTTAATCCGGTTCAGCTCTGGAATTAACTTTATTCTTTTACATTGAACCGAATTTCAAATCAAATCAGTTGCTTGAAATCTGTAGATCCGAGACTTGAATCAATTTATTACAAAATACAAATAGCTTTAATCCCAACAATTGCATTCACCTAACCATATTTGGTAGATGCCAATTTTTTGGGCAGACATCAAATTTAGCCCTATCTTGCTTATGAAAATATCTACGGCTTGCAATATTTTCAGTACAACGGGCAATTATAAAATAGAAATTAAATGACTTATTAAAATTTTCAAAATATATGGCAAATCAAGATTTCAATCAAATCTGTCAAATATTAATTAATTAAATTATAATGAAATAAAAAGCTTACTGCGATATGTGCATAGCTTTCCCCTATATCCAACAGACCACGGGGATATTCGGTAATATCCAAAGCCAAGGGTATAAACAGAAGGACTCTTAGCCAAAGCCATAAACTGAATGCAGTAAATTGCCATGCTGCAAATTCAAAGTGTGCCACAAACCCAACCTCTAGCTACCTTTTACACCCGCATGCTGCAAAGTTGGCCCTTGCTCTTGGCCAGAACCAAAATGGAAGCAAAGTGCTCGAGTGCCGTCCCGCCCACTGTTTACCTAACGCAGTCGACGGCAACGTCCCTGCCATTTAGCAAAAGTAATTAAGCGTCGATGCGTTTCATTTGTGTTACTTTTCTGGGCAATTAAGGGAAAAAGTTTGCAGTTTTGCAGTGCGGCGTAAAATTTTCATAGTTAATTGTAGCCCAGTCTTGTGGGCGTTACAACTGTGGACTGCGGCCCATAAGCCTGAACAGATCCAGCTCAGGCTTTGTATCCGGCTTTAGCTCTGGCAATGTGTCCAGGTCTCTGTGTGTACGCGTGTGTGTGACAATGGTCGCGTCAATCGTCTGGGCATAAAAGTTTTCCACTCGCTGGCAAGTAGTTAGTGTTGTTTGTAGCACGTATTTTCCATGCTACTAAATCCGATTGTGTGGCTGTTGTTAATGGAGCCGCAGCTCATCAGCAGCAGCAACAAGTGCCGGCAACGAATCCTACACTATATCAAGAGCTCCAGCTGTTCCAAAGCTTGAATCCAACTGCCTGCAGACTTAGCTGGATTAATCCTGGTGATCTTCTCACCGGATGGCTGTGAATTCCATTATTTGACAATATTTGTATCTTATAACTCTTTATATTTAAAAATATATAAAAGCTTGAAATCGCTAGAAAAGCGATTTAGTTGCAATACTCTGTTAAAGTCTAAACGCTTTGTTTAATAGAAATAAATTATATTATATTATTATAATAAAGTTATTTAAATATTACCTTTTATTTAAACGTGGATAAATGTTCTTGTAGTAAAAATATTGACACCCTCTTAATGCGATTAAAAATCCGTTAAGCATATTATGTAAAATGTTTGTAATTTAAATGATACATGCGAATAGTGTAGGCGAGATAACCTGTACATTTGATAGCAGCAAAAGTTAGGTGACAATTTTATGACCTATTTAAGTATGTATTATTATTGATCGATTGAATGTATTGCATTACTTGACACGCACAGTGCAGATACTTAATTATATATATTTCTTTTATTTTTAGCAACCAAGCGGCACTAACAGAACCGATTACTATTAATAGCGACTGCCACTTCGCAATTGAGTATTTCTAACTAAAATGAACGATAATAATTTGACCGCAGTCAGCAAACCTCAACTGTGCGGTTTAAGTGGCGTTTCAGGTGTGAATTCCCATTGAGTAGCCTAGTGAATAATCGTGCCAAAGTTATATCGCTCGTTGCTAAATTGATATACTTAAGACCTGTGGAAATTCCGCATTTTAATAGGCATTCACGTAATTTTCATTAAATTTATGCGATAACCGCATCATTTGAAAGTAACTTAAGTTTTCTCGCGTTCGCCATTCGTATCCCGAATATATGTGGCTACGAGCCAGCCGCAGGCAGCGACAGCATCAGCATCAGCATCATCATCAGCATTCGTGGCAGCAGCAACAATTTACAAACTTGGCGCACCCACATCACGGGCAGGCCAGCAGCTCACCCCCTTCGCACCGGCAGCGCAATGTGCAAAAAATGTTTCTCATTAAAAAGTTGTTTCACAATTTTATTATCCTCTTGTCGTCCTCTCAGGTCCCCATCGCCGTGGTCGTCCTGCAGGTATGCGCTCATTGTCACAAGCCCTGGTGCCAATGTCAATAAAGCAAACTTCGGACCTGGCAAAAACGTTAATCCCACCCTAGCGAACCCCAGCAGGAGCAACAACATCAAATTATTTTTAAATTACTTGCAAAAATAGGGCAGCGCAAAGTTATAATAGCTCGACAAAAATAAAAAAATAAAAAAAACACAAACAAAACAGACGTAAATTGGCGTTGACCAAGCTTGCGCGACTAGTAAATACCCTCTAGTCGCGATGAATGCATTGAATTATTTTGGTATTTAATATATTTCCAAAATGTTATTATTTAGTTACCCTTTTGAAACAGATACATGTTAAACATATTTCCCCAACTTTTATCAACCCCATTTGGTCATTTTGTGATCACAGGGTATGGAAATTAAGTACACTTAAACAATTTTGAGAAGCCCAATGAGTGCATACCCTTTGGAAAGAGCCACCTGCTGAAAAAAACAAACACTTTTTTACTAGACTTGTGAAAGTAGCTAAAAGGTGAATACTGCTATAAAGGAAAATATGTGGAAACTATGCGCAGTTTTTCCTTTTTTTTTTTTTAGAAAGAATGACAAAATGAACAAAATGAAAAACGAACATTCGGTGCATTCTTCCACGCAATGCTCTGTCAACAGTATAATAAATGTTTTGACAGATCCAGAGCAGATTTTTTGATTAT